CTGAGTCTTTTATTTTGGACCTCAAGTCTATAACTGGGTTATTCATTATCCTTGATTTATGACATCATTATAAGTCCATGCATTTCCTATTTATTACTAATCCATTTATTTAGTTCATTTTAAAACTACAATTTCATTTTTAATAGTAATCTTCATTCCTAATTTTTAAAATTTGAGATGAAATTTACATATAGTGAAATGCACACATCTTAAGTGTACAGTTTGATGAGTTTTGACAAATGTATAAATTTGTATAACCAACTACTCAAGCAACATATTGAAGAGGAGGTCCCCCAGGATCATTTGCCACTTCCTGCAAGTAACTATTTTCCTACTTTCTATCACTATAGATTGCCTGTTCTTGATTCATATAGAAGGGATTTTATAGTACATCATTGTTTATGTCTGGCTTCTTTTGCTCAGCATAATGTTGCATGTGTCAGTAGTTCAGTCTTTTCTATTGTGGAGTAACATTCCTCTCACTGTATTTGGAGTAATATTGTATTAAGTATGTAGGGATGTCCAGGGGAATCTTCCTCTCAGAAATGTTTTTGGGGATATAGGAAAATCTTTTTAGAGCATAGGATTTTCTGAAGTTTTTCCATTTAGCCTTTCTATTTTTAAAAAATACTTTGACCCAGCCATGAAAGTTGACATAGTTTTATCAACACAGATGCTCATTAAATTAGGCTGCCTCTAAAATAACTCAGGGCATGGGCAAGTCAGAATTTTAATAAACAATAAATATGGAAATTCTGTTTTAATGTTAGTACTTTACCACTTCAGTTTGCTGTTCTTATTCTTCTGTGTAGTCTTTTGAAGTCCATTTGGAATTTATTGAGACTTTGTTGCTTTACATATATGGACTATCCTGATGAATATAACATGTGGACTTAAAAAGAATGTATATTCTGCATTTGGGTGTTTTCTTATATAAATCAAATTAGGTCAGGATGGTTGAAGCTATTGTTCAAATTGTCTGTTATTGCTGGATTTTTTTCCTACCTTGTACTTACCTTTGCTATTCCGAAAGAGGTTTGAAAATAACAGGTGGGACAAAACAAAACAAAGGACAGGACCATACACTTAAATCTAACCATATCAAAAATTACATCAAATATAAATGACTTAATTTATGTAATTCTCCTTTAATTATGTTGGGTTTTGCCTTATATATATGGAAGCTCTGTTATTAGTTGCAAAAACATTTGCAGTTGTTGTGACTTCCTGATGAATTGATCATTATAAAATATCTCTTTCTAGTAATACTTCTCAATTGAAAGCTGTTTTTCTTATATGAATATAGCCACTCCTTTCTTAGGCTTACTATGTATATGGTATTTCATTTTGCATCCTTTTATTTTTATATTTCTTTATATTTAAAGTATACCTCTATTAACAACATATAGTTAGGTGTTTTTGTTTTTGTTTTGTTTTTTTGCCAGTCTGGCAATCTCTGGCTTTTAATAGTGTTCATTCTGCTTATATTTAATATAATTATTTATATGATTGAATTTAAATCTACCATCTTGCCATTTGATTTCTGTTTCTCCCATCTGTTCATTGTTCCATTATTGCCTCCTTTTGAATTGAGGATTTCATTAGTATTCCATTTCATTAACCTAATTGGCTTTTTACTAATACCTCTTTATTTTGTAATCTTAATGGATTACATTGTATATTCTTAACTTGTCACAGTCTACCATGAATTAGTATTAAACATCTTTGTTTATAATGTAAGAGGTTTACCCCTTTCTTCCTTTTGAGCCAATAAGATTTTGATATTCTTCATTATCCTAGCTACTCTCCATCCCATGGACTGGGGAGTGCCCACAGGTAAAAGATGTATAAACACGAATCTCACTCATTATGGTTCCCTTTACTCGAGAGCTGAATTCCCTCCGGTTTCTACCAGCTTTTGTTCACTCTCTAGTTTCTTCAAAACTGTTTTTATATTTTATCCAGTGTTTTGTATTGCTATTTGTGCGGTAGTTTGTCCTATAAAATCTACTCCACCGTTATCAGAAGTGGAGTTTTCATTTTGCCATTTTTAATAATGTACTAAGCACTCTTCTGAATCCATTACCTAACTCAAAAACCTTACAGTAATCTTTATTTAACTATGTAACTCTTCCTCTCAGTCTCTCCCCCCATATCCCTGACTTGAGGTAGCCATCATTCTGAATTTCATGTTACTATTTCCTCTTTTCTGTTTGTATAGTTATGTTGAATCTATATGTATTTCTAAAATACATTTATATTTGTATTGTTTTAACTTTTAAAAAGTCTCACTGAATTTATTGGAGAGTTATTTTTCTTTGCTATTATACTGCATGGATTTATTCATAACACACATTGCTTTAGTTTATCTTGACAACCGTATGTAATTCCATTGTGTAAATACACCAGTTTATTAATCTTCTCTTGTGTTGGACATTTGGTTTGTGTCCACGTTTTTGGCCTTGCGGAGAGTCCTACTATGAACATTTGTGTGTGTCCATGATTATGTGCCTTGGTGTAAATATTGTTAGAGTGAAAATGAATATGTTTAATTTTAGATGACAATGCCAAACTTATTCCAACTGGTTAAGCCCATTTTACATTCCCACCGCCATTCTGTAAGAGATTCTGTGAATCGACATCCTCTGTAATACTGGGTAATGTCGATTTTTTTTTTTTTTTTTTTTTTTGCCAGTTGACTAGGTATAAAATGGTATCGCATTGTTGTCTAAAATTCCTTTATTAATGACATTAAGCCTCTATGTGTTTATCAGCCGAAGATATTTTCTATTATACATTTGTTCATGTCCTCACCTATCCCCTTTTTAAATCTAATTTGTAGAAATTCTATCCTTTGAATACCACTGAACCAGACCACCTATACTGACAACTTTTAATTTATTAAACATCTTAGGCCTTTGAATCCGTCATTCTCCCACACTACCCTATTTGATTTGCGAACCCTTCTAAACTCTTGACCACCTTTTCCTGCTCCATTTTTCCCCTTTAACACCTTCCACCTTTGCAATATTAAGTACATTTTTATTGACTGTTTTACTGTCTTCCCCTTTCTATTACATGCAGGCTGCTACATAAGTATAGGGATTGAGATAAGCATTTATAAACATTTATTGCAATTTAATATTGTCATTTGTTAAAGGATTGGAAATTAAAAAACAGCTTTGAAAACCACAGTCTAAGTTCTCATACCTCCATGTCAGAACATTTGAAAGCCTCATTGAACAGAATGAGAAGAAATACATAACTACCTGTCATAGGTGAAAAAGTGTTCATGCTATACACAAATACAGTTGCTAACAAAGATGAATATTTGTTTTTCTAATTTAATGAGGTGGTGAGAGTTTTTCTAATATGAGCATTAGCCATTGTTATAGCTGAGCCTGGCTTGTATCTCTTTATGTTATTTTTGTATTTATCATAGTATCTAGAGCTCTTTGAAGAGCTTTTAAAATGAAAGGGAATGCAAACCACTTCATTATATGAAACTCAGGGACTGCATGGTCTCCGCTTAAACCTTTATATTCTCAGTCATCACTGAGTTTTGAGATTTCATCCTGAAGTGTGATTATTAAATTTGCTCCCTACGTCTCTGGACTGTTCAAGTAAATATCTGAGAACTACCTAAGTTCATAACGTTGCTTTGTTAACTCCCTTACTTCTGCGTGGCTGTAAACATTTGTCTTGAGTACTTTTGTGCTGTAGTTTTCCACATAAAATGATGTGATATTTTACAACTTCTGAAGTTGAGTAAAGTTCTGGGAAATCTGAGACAAAATCTCTAAAAACTATAAAATCAAAGTAATGTTTCACAATTTTAATATGGCATTTTATCAGAATGAATGCAGAGTAGAGAACTGATCCAAGAAGCTGTTTATCAGAGCTGTAAATATGTTTACAAAAGTAAAGTGGTGACATCTGGCTGCTTGGAAACAGTGGGCAAAGTTTTCTTTTAAACAGCATACCTTTTATTTCCCAGATATTTGCTACACCACAATATCTGCAAAGTAGCTAAGGTCTTATTTAGGCCTTTTGGGAGAATTTACATGGGTGCTTAGTCTGGTACTTGAAGTGCATTAATTAATATTGGAAATCACATAGCCTTGAGTTTTTCTTGTTCATAATTAAATTTTTTGCAAGAATAATTCCAATATATTTGCAACAGGTAAAAGAATGAGTAGATTGTGTCATAATTTCAGCATAAACCTATTTTTCAGATAAGATGAGATAAACAGAAATCTAATATGTATTATAATGGAGGTCAGACAGACCTAGGTTAAAACCTGGTCTTTATATTTATGTGCTGTGTTTCTATGCAAAAACCAACAAACATCTTTGATATCACCTATCTAATAGCGACAAGTGTATCCATTTTATTAGGCTGTTGTCATGATTAGGGATTATGAATAATTTATGTACATGTAGAGGGACCACTGTAGACACTTGTACATGGTAGCTGTTGTTATATTATAAAATACCAGTGGTTGTGTGTGTGTTTAGTGTATATGCTAGTAAACCCTTTTCTTAACTAAGTCCTATGGTAAATCCTTATAGAAGGGACAAAAAAAAAGGCAAAATTGAAAGAGCAGAAATTGGGTGGGGCTGGTGCAGGAAGAAAAAAAATCTTACCTGCTGAGCATTCCTAATGGCTCTCAGGAAGTTTCCACAGCCATCCCTGGTGCCCTACACAGAGCCCTCGAGCTCTATAGAGTGCATCATGGAAACTCTTCTACTGGACTTTAAACACCTTGCGTGCAATAACTGAAACTTACTTATTTTATTACCTGGTAGAGCGTGTGGTCTTGCAGTACGGTAGATGGCCGGCCACAGCGTGTTAAGTGACTCAGGTAATTCAGCTCTACTGCTGCAGAGTGGTAGATGTCTAGGTGGGGTTGTAATTTGACATTGAGCTATCACACCTGCCAGGAAGCATGTGTCATTTAAAGGGTATAATGGTAACATCATGGTTTTTTCAGATCTAGGTTGGAATTTGCCCTTGACGGATACCAAAATGATGAGTGACGCAAGTGACATGTTGGCAGCGGCGTTGGAGCAGATGGATGGGATTATAGCAGGTAATCTGTGTCCTCTGAAGGATGGACTCAGGACATTTACTCTGCGCTCTTGGCTTTTCCATTCCAACTCTTTTATTACCTTTCCACTTTCTTATTTTCATTTATTGGCTGCCTTTAGATCCCGTGTGGTTTCACCTTGGTCCCTCTTCTCCATTTTATACCAGTATTATTCTCAAACTTTATTTTAAAATGTCAAATCCCATTTCCATCCTAGGGTTCTGACTCAAGGATAAACTGCATCTCATGTGATTTCGGTGCAGGTAGTCTGTGGGCCACACTTTGAGGGATACTGCTCTACCCAGTATCCATGGATATTCTTATCTGTTCCCTTGAATTTGACATTTACTTTTCCCACCAATGACTCTCACTTCTATTTACTTACTCAATTCTCTGCTAAGCTTTGGGTCTCTAATTGCCAATCAGGTATCTCCTTTGAAATAGCCTATATGCACATCCGTGTCATCAGGTAAAGCTTTGAGCTCATTTTCTTTCCTCAGAAGCCTCCCTAGTAGTCTTTATCTCGTCTAATTTCGTAACCTTCCATCCACGCAGTTTCCTAAATAGAAATTTAAGTCACTCTAGACCTTTGTCCCTCATAGTCCCTGCTTAGTCAAGTTTTATCACTTCTATCTCCCTTTAAATTCAGCATTCTCTTTGATTCCTTCTAAAATCTGTCCTGTCTGTGCTTACCTCTGCCCTGCTTTGTCCTGGCAACCCTCTCCCTTGATGTTTTTGACACTCTTGCTTTCCCACTCTACTCCATCATTTTCTAGACTACCGGAATTTCCTTTCTGAGACACAGATCTGGCCGTATTCCTCACTTGTTAAGAATCTTGAGCGATTCTGTGTTGTGGAAGTGGAGCAAAAACAGTGTAGACCATGACCTCCTTGTTTTTCTCATCATGACCAAAGGGACTGACCAGTAGGTGAACGCTTTCAGGCCCTTATGGTCTCCCAGGGGTAGTGGCTTCCTAAGGTCTCATGTCACATTTTGTGTTTTGTCACAGGAGGAGTACCTTTATGTATTTAGGAACCCATGGTAATGAAGAGAGGATTGCAGGAGCTAATGGGTGGGGTTGTCATCCACCTGATGGTCAGGGTCAAGATGCTGTTGGCCTCTATTACTCCCCCATTCTAGCTATTCTGGCCCCTGTTGCTTATCTTTTCTGGTCATAAATTTGACCCTATTCTGTTTTAGTGGTTCGAAGAAACCACAGGGGTTTTCCTTGTCAGAGGTTCTTCCGTTGAGGGACATGGCATGTCATAGTTTGGCCTCCTTTGTTATACTTGTATATCCCAAGACCAGATTTTAATTTGACCTCCTTTGTAGATTAGACCACATCTTGTGTACTGTATTCAGTTCTTGGAATATCAATTTCAAAGAGGTTATTGGTAAAACTTAAGAGGAGGTGAACATGAAGGTGAAGAATTTAAAACAACCTCATCTGGTAAGGAAGGAACTGGTTAAGTTTAACCTGGAAAAGTATATTCTTGCTCAGGGCATGATAGATACTTTCACACAGTTGAAGGACTATTAGGTGGAAAAGAGATTGGACTTACTGTGTCATAGTTTCAGAAAATACAACCAGAGCCAGATCTAAGCTATTATCAGAGGTTATAACCTCAAACTCTTAGTGAAACTCTAGTCAAGAGAAGTGGTACTTCTGGACAGTAGTTGAGGGTTGACATTTTATATACTCCACTAGATGAGTGTATTTGTTCCTTACCCCTGGTAGGGCTTCAGGACCAACATTAGAGTTATTCAGAAAATCAAGAATTCTTGGGTCCCACCTCACCCTGAGTCGGTCAGTAGGTTAATGGGTAGGCCCTGGGTTTATGTTCTCAAATTAATATCAGTAGCTCTCCACCTAAGGTAGGAGGGAGATATGACTGCAAATATTTGAGGAGTTTTTCTAAATACACATCTCTCCCCTATACCCCACTTTGTTTTGTGATGGAGACTTAACAGAGTGGAAGGTTATTGTGGGCACATCTATTTTTAATAGTATTATCCGGTGATCCTAATGCTTAAAACTGCTGGAATAGGACGTTATAGTCTGCTTTGTTTTTAATGCTCTTCTGTTCTTCCCTTTCCCTAACATACTCTCCTCAATTTCTATTTTTCTGGATTCTCCTCTCAGCCTTACATGGTTTCTGAGGGGATTGATGCAGAGGATTATGTGAAGCATTTAGCATTGGGCCTAGCATATCAATGGTTACCATTATTATGGTTTGGCAGATTTTGGTCCAGATCATTTGGTCCAGTTTTAAGGAAGGTCACTGGAATGGACTAACTGAAAGAAAATTCCTCTCCCCGTGGTTGGAATTGATCAAGCTGTATGGCCAACTGGTGAGAGAATTTACACATCAGTTTGCAGTTTTCTTCCAATTATAAGACCCTCAGATTAGTGAGGTGGTAGTCTAAATATCATAATTATTGACACTTAAATATAAAGTTAGTACATATATTAATAGTATATATATTTGGCAGACCAGAAAATAAAAATCAAAGAGATGAAGAGGTATATATGAGTGCTTTCTGAACAGGCTCTGGGTGAGTTATGTAGATTTAAGTCATAGAATGCTTTCCTTTATAAGTAATAGGAAAAAAATGACTGTAAAACTATTTTTTAAAGCTGATATTAGCAAGAGCATTTGATGCTATGCTGCAAATAAAATCATGGGAGAAAATGTTAATACATACACACTCATTCATATATACACAAATGTATACATGTAATTCATTGAACTTCTCCAGAGATTAAATTTTGGTAAATTAACTGGGAGCTGGTCCTGTTACCCTTGACATTATGTTATGCAGTTTCCACCTCAGTGTGCAAACTTCTTTTAAAGGAATTTCTCAAAACTTTATGGTACCTAAATTTATATTTTGGGAGTACTTGGCTCTATCCAAACTGATCTGATACCTTCTTAGCCCTTATTTCCATGAGGTCAGCATATCTTTCACCAAAGCCCATTCATTATATTCTTACTGTACTACACAGTTGTAGTAGTTGGCCTCCCAATTAGGTATTTGGCGATTGATATTTACCATCAATTATGTGGGTTTTATTTTTTGCACCAAATTACTATGACTTGGAAATGAATGAATTATTTTCTTTTCCTTTTTGCTTGTTTTGATAATTCCTCACTGTGACTGGACTTGCTTGCCACCCTCAGCTTTAGTATATTATCTCATATAAATCCTATTGCTCTCTCTGTGATTTTGTTTTTGTTTTTTTTAAACCCAGGTTCTAAGGCCCTGGAATATTCCAATGGGATTTTTGATTGCCAGTCTCCCACCTCCCCATTCATGGGAAGCCTTCGAGCTCTGCACCTTGTGGAAGACCTGCGTGGCTTGTTGGAGATGATGGACACAGATGAAAAGGAAGGTTTGAGATGCCAGATCCCAGATTCAACAGCAGAAACGCTTGTTGAATGGCTTCAGAGTCAAATGGTAGGTATCGGCACGTTACAGATCCCGTGCTGTGAATCTTTTGTTGCTTATTCCAGAATTTAGAACATAGAGTAGCTGATTAGAACAAGAAAAAAAAAAGTACAGGGCAACAGGTTTGCTGTGATTTTTATCCCTTAATGCATCCCAGTTCCCTTTAAGGATAATGTTAATGTACATTTCATGGGTTCCAGCACATCACCTCGTTTTGCCTGTAAAGGTGGACTGACTAGCTTTCAAATTTTGCTTGGATGACCTGCTGTGGCCTAAAACAAATTGTCCTGTAAGGGAAAGAACCTTGCACGTAATAAATGCTTTCTCAGTACTATTGGGAGGTTTAGTATAAAAGGACCCAATAGCAATTCAAATATGAAGTACAGTGAATAGACGCTTCCAAAAGCAGCGACGCGGAGGTCTGCTGCAGTATTTGATATAAGGTGCCATCTAGCGGTCTCTGGGGGCCATGCCAGTTGTAGTGCGCGAGGGAAGCTGTAGAATTGGGCTTTAAATGGCGTTCTTCTTCATTGAACAATGAGGCCCCTTTCTAGGCATCCGTCTCAAAGATGGATGGTGTGGCAGATCTGCCCTTTCCCCGAACACGGTGGTAAGTACCATGGTTTTAATATGTGTAGAACAAATAAAATCTAAAGAATGGCATGAAAAATATTCAAAGAAGATAGCAAAAGTGTTCATTCTGTAACACAAGTAATGCCACCGAACAATACACTTAAGAATGGTAAAAATGATAAATTTTCTGTGTGTATATTACCACCACCAAAAATGAGAACATTAATAGTTTGATAAAATTGATGGTTGGATTGTATCTTGGCATTTACCAATGCAGGCGCTGGAGACAGTAGGCCTGAATTTTGATTTTGGCGCTGACTCTTAGAAGCTTGTATGATTTGGGGGAAATTTTTTAAGCTGTTTGTCTCAAGTTTCCTCATTTGTGAAATGGGGACGATAGCTTCTGCCACATGGGATTGTGAGTCCCGTGAGCTAATTTATGAGTGCTTGCAAGTGAGCCTGGTGGATGAGTCAAAAACTTAATACACTGAAGAGTAGATTGTAGAGAGTGGAGGGAAAACCATGGGATTCCTTTGCAAAGAGGGAAAGAGAGTGTTGGCTCCAATTACACGTTACTCACACGTAATTCACTTTTTTGACAAGAGTACAGACATTTTTCAGACTATGGAGAAGCTTTCACAGTATTTTGGAAAGACTTATTACTAGTGGCATAATTAAGATTTCATTTATGTTTAATGATAGCCAATTTGGGAGTCCACGTACTTAAGACTGATACTGATCTTCTCATTAGTGCAACTGGGCATTTGCAGTTCTAATTACTTCGCCTGGGCCAGGGAGATCCCCTGGTTTCCTGTCGGATGTCGCGTCTTCCTTCCCTACTGATTTCTGCTGCCTGTGTTGTTGTTTCACATGATCAGAAGCTGGATGAGAAGAAAGAAAATAGTCACACTAGTAGTTTGTTACTGGAGAAGGGATATTAGATCTATAAGAATGAATTTGTTTTAATAAAGTAGTTATAGCTGTAGCCTTCTAAACAATGACAAGTTTAAGACTCAGGAGTTCCTCTCCTGTGGTTAAAAAAAAAAAAAATCTATTGACTGTGCCGTATTTGGTCAAGTACTGAGGTAGAATTCTTTGTTTTGATTGTGAAATGTTATCCTGTTAATACAAATACTAACGATGGAGAATTACATGCTTTATCAAGCTCTAAGTTTAAGAGGGCAAATAGAAAAATATGTCGAATTGTTTGAGGCAAGCAAGCAGTTTCCGTTTGCTTTAGGTTTAACTCCGTGAGTTGCCTAGAACATTCATACAGTGCTTTTCCCAGTAGATGAAGTTGAGGATCATGACCTTGATCAGGACGTGAAATATCCCACAAGTGTCCTGTTATTTGGTGGTTTTAATATGAGGCATTCTTAAAATCAGCAGAAATGACAAAAGTACAGTTTTCAACAAAGTGAGTGGAAATGCAATGACCGAAGTCCAAACCAGGCATCGTGGCCGATGAGATAAAGTCAAGTGTGCCTCCCTGGCTTCTGACCTGATAAGTCTCAATACATTTCTGTCTTATTCCTTCATTTAAAAAATTAGTGATATCAATTGCAAGTGTATCTTTTTCAAAAATTTTCTTAAGAGAAGTTTCATAAAAATAAATACCCATAATTTAAAGAGTTCAGAAGTGAGGAACGTTTTCTCCAGGCCCCTGACTCTCCTCCACATGACCCATTCCAGGCCCGCCATCCTCAGATCCCCCACTGCTCTCTGCCCAGCCTCTCTTTTCATGTGTGCCTCCAGGGAATGTTTGTTCAAGCCTTGGCAAACAAGGCACATCTTAAGATTGTATTCTGTACGGGGTCACAAATTATCTGAGTTATGCAGTGTCTCACTGAGACATCCTCGCTAACATGAAGGCTGCTTCCCCCCTTCTGGTACCAGGCTTCTGGTAAACTCCCATGAAAAGCATCCACAGATACAAGACAACGAATGGAGCGAGTCAGCGGAATTCTTGGGAGAAACCAGCACAGTGTGATACGTGAGAGATGCACTTTTAATGAAATCCCTGGTGACGGGTGTTGGTGAGGACTGAATGGAAAGAGATGTGTCTGTTCTCTCATGAAAGTGAGTCAAGAAAGGCTAAGTGGCAAGAAAAACAGGGACAGCCTTTTTTCTTGATCTCGTGTTACCCTTCTCAAAGTAGAAATCTTCTCTTGCTATATCTGCATCCTGTCACATCGCTGGCTTTCGGGAAATATTGCAGAAATGAAGGAATAATGGGTGAGCATATGAATATTGTAAGCTACTCGAATAGAGCTGGGCCTTAGCTTCTAGGGCTCTTCTAGTCTTCATCCTTCTGTAGCTCAGAGGGCTTGGGAGTATCCCTGCGACCAGGATAGCGTAGTCTCAACCTGTACCTTCTCCGCCCTGCAGAAGCTTCAGGGAACATGGTGGTGTGCATGAAAATGAGGTGAGGAAGGGCCAGAACGCGTCTCCCCCTACTCAAGTAAGGTGTGTGCATGCATCCGCTGGATCATGGGCTAGCCACTGGAGCTTGGCAACAGATAACCAAATACTACCAGGGACACTCCCTCAAGATATTCCTAATGAGACTGGCAGATGAAAGCACTTGGCATCTGTGGCTCTTACAGGCCTTTGGGATGTAGTTCCATTTGTGGAGTGGTACATCCTAGAAGTTGGCCTGCTGCTGGGATCCTTCTCACCCCAGAGCATGTGTGTTTGCTCCTGTTGGCTATTGATTGAAAAAGGTGCTTTCTGTTTCTGGAAAACAAGCACTGAGAATATTAAAACCCAGAAATAAGAGCCATAGTCTGATTTTGACCACGTCTGCAATCTCGACTTGGAAAGTACAGAAGATATTCAGGCTTCTCCCGAGCTTTGGGCTTCGATGCACTTTCTGGTGACATTGAATAAATGGCATTTTATTCTAGGAGAGCGTCACGCTTGGGCTTTTTGGGTGTGTCGAAGTGTATATGAACTTGATTTCTCCCTTTGGTTTTCTTTTTGAGTGGAGATGTTGAGATTTTGGAATAAATAGAGGGCTTCCTGAAAAGGTTGTCCCCGTTGCCCTAGTCTCGTATTTATTTTTTAGAGCCGTAACAGAAATTTCAGAGGGAAAAATAAATGGGGTGTTTCAAGATTGATGGAGGCAGAGGTGCGATAGTACATAGGGGCACCAGCCAACCAGAAGGGATGCTCCAGTGGCTCCTAGTGGTAGTGGTGTTGCCCCGAGATAGTTATATACAGCACCAGGAGAGAGCCTCACCTCCCTGATTCCATCACACTTGGTGAGAGGACAGGGGAGCCGAGTCTGCAGCCTGGTGGCTTGATTTCCGGCACTGTTGAGAATCACGTTCGTTGATTCTTTGGACAGTAGTGTATGAGATTCCTTCTTGTGCTATTAGACCCCGGTGAAATGTGACTGTGATGTTCATGGCTTTCCAGTTTTTCTCCATCTCTCCTCCTACTGCAGTGTCTAGTAGAGAGCAGGCAACAAATTTCTGCACCCAGTGGTGGAGATGTAATGCTGATTAGGATGCGTGAGGCCCTTGTAGGAGAGAGTTCTTCAGGTAGCTGGAGATAACATTTAATTAAAAGAGCTTTAGCAGGCTTCACCTTCCTTTTTCTTTCTTGATATGGAATTTTGAAAAATGTAATCATGAAATCAAAAACTGGACGGCAGCTTTTAAAACTAACTTTAAAAATAAGCATATTGACTTCGGTGGAGAGCGTGTGTGTTGGGGGGGCGGTGCGTGTGTGTATGTTACAGCACCAGTCCGACTATTTCTTAACATTTGTTGTCCTTATAAAATTGAACCAATTTTCTTTTCCCCAATTTAATTTAGCTACTCACCACTCTGACTTGGGAATGTTATATTCAAACTGAGTTCTGTGTTACAACATAAGTAAGTGTAATTGTGGCAAATCACTGCTTGTTGGTTGATTTGGGATTTAGACAGGACAACAGAGCTCACAAAAGAAGGATAAAGCAAAACGAAGGTTGGGGAGAGAGGGGAGACCACTGGAGACCAATGCAAACCAACAGAACTAAGAAAATTAAAGGAAAACATAGCATGATGCTTTAAGTAAAAATAACAGGGAAAATGTTCCTGCCTGGCTTGAAGTAATAACTGTTGATACCGTGTGATGGGTATCTAAGGTCTCTACTTTTATATATAAAATGAAATTTTGTATAATAAATCGTTTTTTGAAAGGGAGGCACAGAAGGTAAGGTGCTAACATTTATTACATATTTATACTTGATAATTAAAAGGAAATTAATATAAATAGAAGAGCTTCTATTTAGGTGGTAATGGGTGAGGTATAGTGTGCCTTTAACATTGTATGGAGCATCTGCCATGTGAATTCAGGCAATTCATATTCCCAGGTGTGGTTGCTGGCTAACTGTAGGATTCTATAATTCTGTAAGGAATAGAGCTTTTTAGACATTTTCCCCTGTCATGCCAGGAAAAATCTGGCAAACACCATGAGTTCCTTAATTAAAGTATCACTGTTACCATTGAGCTGGATCCCTTGCCCTTCCTTTCCCTCCCTAGTGTCCCATACCCCCCTCCACACACACACTGTTAGTTGGATGCTATATACTATTAAAATCCCGAAGTTGATGCCAGTTTTGACTTAAACTTCCAGTTGGATCAAATGTGGTCAATAAGGGGTTGCATCATGAGTTAAAGTAGGAGGAGTTATTTTGAAGGCATCTCTGGGATTTTGAGTAATTTGGGCTGGTGTTCAGTGCTTTGGATGTCAAATCGACTCAAGAGTTGATACTCAATGTGTTTTTAATTCTATGCTCACGATTTTATAAGAATCTTGGGAGAATCAAAAGAAATGTAAGATAGTTTTGCCCTGAGGGACCATTAAGAAGAATAAGTGACCAGCTCTCATAAGATCACTAGTAAGCCATCCATGGCAGAATATGATGAAAAGCTAAACGGTGAGGGACAAGACAACACACAGAAGGGAAGCCAGTGTAGGGGCAGAAGGGAATATGGCACAAGTAACAAGGAGAAGGTGGGAACTGGCTGTGAAAAATGGATTTGTAGAGGCAGGGAGGAATTGGGGGGGGTGAGTATAGTGGTGGACACAGAGCCTTGGAGTAGATTTTGGAGAGGGGAATGGAAGAAAGTTCATTAGGAGGAAGAAATTGAGAATGGTAAGGGTAGAGGTGATTATTTATAAGGGAAGCAGGAAACCAAGGTTCCAAAGGTTATATGGAATAATGAGCTTTTAGAAGGAGTTAAGACTCAATTTCCCCAAGATTGGCAGGCGGAAAGAAAAGGAAGATGTCGGAGGCGATATATACTATGCTTTGGAGAAGATGGTACATGAGGGAGTTCATGCAAGATAGTCTCAAGTATAGTCCATTAAAAAGGCTCTGAGAACACCTCCTGAACATGGTAGGAAGAGGAGACTACAGGCTTGAGGTCAACCACAGAGTACATGTCAGGTTGCAGGGAAAACATGAATAAAAAAAGGCTCGCTGAGAAGCAAGAGGGCCAAGTTACAACCAAGCATTCATCTTGTATTCATCCAACGTTTATTGAACACTATCATTCATTGTTCATTCTGCAGTCATTTGGTTCGAACTCACTGTGTGTCAGATGCAAAGGCAAACCTACTCACAAAGAAGACAGTTTGTTGGATGAGAGGAATATATATGTAGCCAAGTCTAACCTAATTCGTTCAGTGTGATGCCTGCCGTGATGAGCGTTCATCCAGAATCTCTAGCTGGCATATGAGTGAACAGGTAATTCAAGGAAGACGTCACAGACCAAGCCCGATTGAGCTGGACTTCAAGGAATGAGGAAAGATGAAGAAAGGGCGGGAAATACTGTCCATGCAGAAGGAATAGAATTCCAGAGAGCATGCCATGTCTGGGGAGGTTTTGAGTGGTCTGGTAGGTAAAGCATGGGAGTTGGAGGAAAAATAGACGTGCTAGGGTATTTGCCTAATGTCATTTACCTCTCGCTAACATTTTTAAGGCAAAGGTAACAATTGGCAGAAATATAAATAAATGTGTGAGGAGACTAGACCTTTACCTGCTTGAATAAGTCAACACACTACTTTAAAAGTATGTAACTACTCCATTGGTGGCTCTTAACTTTTGCTTTATTTTGCTATGGTGACCTGTGGTGTTTAAAAAAAAATTTACTCAAGCATTATGAGCTCTCATAAATATCACTAGTCTTGAGAAGTGTGAGTATGCTCATTGTGAGTCAATTTTTAGTATTTTGATTTTAAGATCATTTTGTGATACTGATTTTGGAACATCTGATTTCCAAATCATATGCAGTAGCTTCGTGAAACCCTTCTAGAACTTGCTATAGCAACACTTCTAATCTTTCTATAATTTCCTTCAGTCAGAAGAAATAACAACTTTTGCTTTTTATCCTCAGTGAACAGAAACCTTTTTTTTTCTACCTAATGAAGTATATCTGTTTATAAAACTTCGCTTATGTGGGGCTTTAAAAGCAGATGCCTGCTAAGCTTCATAATCAGAATGAGGAATTTAAAGCTGTATAGGGCCAGTCTGAGCACTTCCTTAGATTGAGAACATGTACATCCTGGCTCTGTTCCAAAAAACTGTCCTCAAGAAGTTACATAAATTTCATTTTCATGGTAGTCCCCGGGGTTGGAAGTCTTTCAGGCCACTCTATCCAACTCCTCCTAGTACTTGTAATTTAATTCTGGGTATTTCAGTTTACAATATGAACAGAATTATGCTGTGGTAAATGCGCAGGTATGTGGTCAAGCAGCTGGTGTTAAAAACTTTATCCACTCTAAATACACGTTGCAGGCTTCCTTCCTCAATTAGCTTCTGATTCTTTTGTGGCTTCATGTGGAATATATCCAGTGCATCTGAATTTTTAGAAGCAACATCCTGAAATTTCCTTTTGCGTTAAAGCTCACGTGAGTGTGTGTGTATGTGTGTGTGTGTGTGTGTGTTTTCTTCTCAACACATGCCTTTTGTTATTCCCAGAATTTATATGGAAAACTGCATTATTTGGAAAGATAGAATAATACCAGTTAATTCTGGAATAATAGATGTCACGTCTGCTGTGTCCTGGGCGGTAAGGATGAGTGTGTTTCTCTGGTTTTAAAACCTGAAGTTATTTGCTTTTTTTTTTTTTTTTAAGATTTTATTTATTTGAGAGGGAGAGATAGCGAGAGAGAGCATGAGCAGGGAGGAGAGGGAGAAGCAGGCTCACCGCTGAGCAGGGAGCCCAACATGTGGCTCAACCCCAGGACCCTGGGATCATGACCTGAGCCAAAGGCAGACACTTAACCAACTGAGCCACCCAGGCACCCCTGAAGTTATTTGCTTTTTTGATTGAACTCTGGATGGCCCCATCTAACCAATTTGAGCTCCACTGGCTTTTATTTCTGTTGTATTTGAAGGAGGAATCAGGAAATTCTATTGGGATTACCCATTATATGATTATGAACTATTCAAATGAGATAACAAGGGATATATCACATATACTGCTATATTTCAAAATGACGTTTTTATGCTGTCTGCTCTCTGTGAGCCTTTTCGTGTGTCTCCTTAATGACTTTTATATATGAGACAGCTGAGGAAAAAAAAAAGTGACTTGCTTTCCCAATCTGTGCTTCCTTCGGTATTTTACCGTGCATAAACATGTCCGAATCTGATTAAAAGGTGCGGGGCCAGAGGGAGGGGAAGAAAGCGAGCACAAGTCTAAGCAGAGCACTGGGGCAGTGCTGTGGTTGCAGGACAACACCTGTTTCCAGGCTCTGTGCAGGAGCTTGGCATAACATCATAGAATCGAGCAAACTCACAAGAAGTTAGTCAAGTCAGGATGGGAACTGATAAAGTGCCCATGAGGAGGGCTAGTCAGTGCTGCGGGGGGGTGGGGGGGGATGTCATTGTGGACTGATTCCTAAGCTTCCAGGGGAAGAAAGAAAGGCTTCAAAGACAAAGGGAAGACTTGCCCTGTGATTTGGTCCAGGGAAGAAGCTGGTGTGAGCTGCCCTGCATCCCTGATGCAGGCATTTGCAGTCCTGGATTTGAAACTTGGGAGGAGAGGGGAGGGACGTAAGGGCATCCCAGGACATTCCCACTGTCCCCACTCAGAATTAGTAGCACTGAGCATTCAGGGGGTAATTAGGGATTTTGTGCCTGAGCACACACTCGCAAAACTTGGCATGACCCGGCTATGTGTCCACGGCCAATTAATGTTAGTAACCACTGTTCCTTTTAGGTCATGATTTTCTGCTTGATGAGAAGTTGTCTGGCTTGGTGATAACATGCCTAAATGCCTAGCATGCCTGTTTTACCTATTTTGAGGTAAATGAACCAAGTTGCAGGCTCATATTTTCGATTAGTGACAGCAAGAGCTGTGCTGAATTCCATTCAGGTTCCTTGGATTAAAAACGTATGCCATCATACAATACATCACCAGTTTTTGATGCAGTGATGTATGGTGACTAACATAACATAATAAAATAAAATTAAAAAAAAAAGAAAATCCATTGCGAGATTCTGGGGGAAAAAAAAAAAGTATGCCATTTTATTTGCCCACAGTAGTTTCAGTTTTAAAGAGAGTCAAGCCTTACACATCCTACTTCATCTTTTCAGACAAACGGACACCTGCCCGGGAATGGAGAGGTGTATCAAGAAAGGCTGGCACGTTTAGAAAATGATAAAGAATCTCTCGTTCTTCAGGCAAGTGATTTTAAAATGCTGCTCTTTCTTCATGACGTATTCACAAAGACCATTTTAAATTGGGATGGCATATTCAGATGCTTCTAGGAGCCATACTGCTAATAGAAATAAGTGCATAGGCCATCTGTACACAATAGGGAGTGGTGGGGACTGTGGCAGCACAAGGGTGTGCTTACCCTGTCTAGAGGGAGCATCCCGGACTCTCTGATGACAGATACAGTGTCATCTAAGCCGATTTTCTGATCTGATCTGTCATCTTATTTGATCTGATTTTTTTTAATATACAGCACAAATTGCAATTTTATACTATAGATATTCATAAATCTTCATATTTCTGAATCCGAATATATTTAATTTTTCAACTTTAAAAACGATACCATGAGCCAAACAGAACCTAAGTGAGTAATGGAGTCTGGTTTAGTGGCTAAATTTGAGTTTTCTTCTTTGTAATCTTTTAAATGCATGACAAATATTTTTATTTTGGTATTTTGAGCTAAATAAATTGTGGTAGATTTACTAGACTGGTGATCATTGGGGAAAGACTCACATTTTCTTTTTTTTTTTTTTTTAAGACTTTATTTATTTATTTGACAGAGAGAGAGAGACAGCGAGAGAGGGAACACAAGCGGGGAGAGGGAGGGAGAACCAGGCTCTCTGCGGAGCGGGGGAGCCCGATGCGGGGCTTGATCCCAGGACCCTGGGACCATGACCTGAGCCGAAGGCAGACGCTTAACGACTGAGCCACCCAGGCGCCCCGACTCACATTTTCAATAAGCACCAAGGATAAAAGACTAATCCAGTGTCTCCTTGTGGATCTTTGAGTTACATCTTGGATTTGAACACACTTGTGGACAATGTAATCAGGAAAGATCTCATGGAATTTGAATTCCCTGGGTCCTTTCCTTTATTCTTCGCGAAGTATCAGAGTTGAATAGTCCTTGACAGCTTCTCTTTGAAACATAACTCCATTTCCTCTCTTAATCTCTAATACTACCTCCCACTCCCATCCCATTCTCCCCAAAAAGAATGATCTGTTCACATGCTCTCTTGCATATAATGGTTGAAATGATGTTAACCTATAAATACAAGGTATTGCATATCCCCAGTCAGCCCTAATCACCTTAAAAATTGGAGTCCTCAGATCCATAAGCATCACTTAAATAGGATTGTGAAGGACGGCTGTCTTACCCACGGCATTTCTTTTCTTTACAACCAAATGGGGAGTGACATCATTCCAGTTTTTGTTCTATTTAGAGAACTAAAAGTTTGTGGTGGGACCCAAATTCTTCCTACTCTATTGCAGTATTTTGCTCTTAATACAGGTAAGTGTGTTAACAGACCAGGTAGAGGCTCAAGGAGAGAAGATTCGAGATTTGGAGTTTTGTCTTGAAGAGCACAGGGAAAAGCTGAATGCCACAGAAGAAATGCTGCAGCAGGTATGTTCAGAAGCCCGCACCGCGGTGGGATTTTCTTGCTGACCTGTTTGAAGTGCTGCATTTGTATGTCATGTTCACTCTGATGCAGGAATAAAGTTCATGATTCACCTAGACTGGCATATTTTAAGCAAAAACCTAGAGTACCAGGGTCTCAAAACACATGCACACAATAGAAAGTTATTAGAATCTGGAATAAAATATTGATAGGATTGTAGGTAATTTTAATGTTCTTCTTTAAACTTTCATATGGTTTCCTAACCCCCAAACACGAGCATATATTTTATGATTAAGAAAAAAGATAAGTACCATATATGACTTCTGGGAAAAAAAAAAAAAAACCCAAACTTGTAATGTAATGTACACACACACACACACACACACACAGTGCTTGTGGACGAGAGGACCTATAATATAGTGGATAGGGCACGCACTGGAGGGAGACTGTTTCAGTTTGAGTACTCACTCTGCCATTTCCTTGCTGTATGACTTTTGGCAAGTTCTTAACCTCTCTGTTCCTCACCTTCCTCATTTTTTGAACAAGGATAATTCGTGAGTTATCTTTAGGAGTTTCTACTTTATAAGGTTGTTTTGAGGATTGAACCACTTAAAACATGTCATCGTCAGTGTTCTCTTCAGGCGTAGCAGCATTTCAGGTTTATATATATGTGTGTATCTACATAATGTACGTCTCCCCAGTAAGCAAGCGTACATTTAGTTCTGCTCAATGAAGGTTAACTGAAGCAAATAATTTTTTCAAATTTTATCTGTTTAGTGATTAATCTTTACCACATTCTTGACTTGATAGTTACTGCTTTGCAGTTGTGAGACACATCCATATATGTCTGTTTATAATAAAACAACTTTTGAATGTATCTCTTAAATTGTAATAGGAGCTTCTGAGTAGGACATCCTTAGAAACTCAGAAGTTGGATCTGATGGCTGAAATATCTAACTTGAAGCTAAAACTAACAGCTGTAGAGAAGGACAGATTGGATTATGAAGATAGGTTCAGAGACACCGAGGTAAGTGACAACCCCCCCCTTTATATACATATGCGTGTGTGTGTATATATGTCATACACATATTTCCAGAGCAAGTTGAAATTCCTTGTAGGCATGAGGGAGAGGCAGTTAATTACTACCTTCTCTCGTTCATCCGTGCTTCTTTTTAAGAATAATCTTTAATTACATTGACTTTTTTTTACATTGACTATCACTAAATGCTCATGGAAATATTTATTGTGAGACTGTTGATGTGAAATATTAATCCTTTCATTAGTCTTTAGAAATAACTTTTGACTTTATGACATTTGCAGCTTCTCTATTCATCTGTCTGTCCTTCTGTCCATCTATAGTGGTTTTCTTCATTATGAAAATAATGGGTTTAAGTGTATCACTTTACTAATAGCTCTCTTTAAGTTATACTGATTATTTGCTATATAATAAGTAGGTTTTAAAATACAGAGAACATGCTTTCATTATATAATCATAAAAATCAGATTTTTAGAGTTTATTTCATTTGGCCTTCTACTTTTGGTCTATCCACGCATAAATCATTCCAAATAAATAAAGCTCACTATACTTTTGTGAAAAGTACCCATTTTTGTGGTTAACCATGCTTTGTTCTTTGTACTGTTTTATTGTTAATCCGGGTCTTTTATTTGCTTATTATTTGTTGTTGGGGAAAGAGAGCATATCCATTTGAAATCTGTTTATTTGGAAAGAAATATGAAGAGCTGCAGGACTTTGTTATCTCCTAGGGGCATCTCTTCTTTTTTCTCTCTTTTGTTTCCTCGGTTGGCATATGGAGAGTTCTCATACTAGATTAGAATGTGGGTACAGGAAAGGGGAGAGGAGAAGAAATCATTTAAGTATTTTTCCCCCTCTATTTTCATTTCAAGCCAACTCTGTACCATCATGATATGAGATACATTACGTATGTTCTCCACTGTATGCAAGTCCTATATAGACTGGATTTAGTGAGATTTACTCCATTGCTGTTTTCAAAATTAAATTTTCTGCCAAAGATGGGACTCTAATGGAAAGTCTCAGCATATGTATTACTTCCTCAGCAGCAAAAGGAAATCCCCGACTTAGTTCACATTTAATCTTCTAAAGCTCTTTGTCAGTCACCTATATGAGCGTGTTTCTCACTTGATTGGGCTCTTAAAACAGAACTTAGAAAGTTACCCAATTTCTCTAAAACTGTCCCTTTTTTGCTTTCTTGAAAAATCTGTTTGGATATTTTCCTCTTTTTCCTCTCTGTCATTCCCTGACCCCACAGTTGCGATAGAATTCAGTCAACAGATGGAAAACATGCTGTGGAGCTTACTCTGGTGCAGGGAAAGAAGCTACAGTATTCGGGTCCAGAGTTGGCCTTTTCCATCGTATACATGAAGTTTAGGGGGAGTCTTAACCTGCACGACTGGTTAATTTGGATCCGAGATGTTAACCAAACGTTAGGACTAAATTGAAGTGGATGCATTATGATTTTTTTGTAAGACTCCAGAGCAATATTTACATCTCTTGAGTTTGTCTGTGTTTTTAAAAAAGATTTTGTTTATTTATTTGAGAGAGAGAGAAAGGGTGCACTCGTGTGCGTGGGAGGATGGGCAGAGGGAGAAGGAGAGAGAGAATCTCAAGAGACTCTGCGCTGAGCAGGGACCCTGTCTTGGGGCTCTATCCCATGGCCCTGAGCCGAAGATCAAGTCAGAGGCTTAACTGACTGAGCCACCCAGGCACCTCTGTCTGCATTTTTTTTTATAAAACTTTTTTTTTCTGGTGCTTCCTTGCTTCACTCATGCATTTTCAATCATAAGCAAAGTGATCCTGTCATCAAACTTTCAATAAACTCAATCCTTGATAATTTTCTAATAAACATTCAATACTATTGGTAAAAAATAATATGCATACCGAGAGATTATAAACTATAATCTGATCAACTTTGTTACATATGACAATAAATAAAATAGTCCTCAAAATTAAAACTGAATTGAATATGCTCATTTTCCTATTCTTGTTCCCTTAATAAAAATAAAATGTTTGGGGGGCGCCTGCCTTGCTCAGTCAGTAGAGCATGCAACTCTTGACCTCAGGGTCATGAGTTCAAGCCCCTTGTTGGGTCTGGAGCCTCCTTTAAAAAAAAAGTTTCCCTGGCTGTTTCATGAATCCAAAATTCTTTAACTTTGTCTTAGAACTTTAGATTATTTGGAGATTAATTCCTAAGAAAATATTGGAATGGAGAAGAAATATAGGCACTTCCTAAAGATTAGGGGTAAAAACCTTGAAATCCTGGAATTTTGAAGACTTGCCTGTCCCAGGAATGGCTGATAGGAGATGCTTAGCATTATTCAACAGTGCCCCCTTCTGGTAAGGGTACAGATGCCAGAAATTGAGTTTTCTGTAGAGCCTGAGTTTCTCTGAGAGGGAAAAGGGAAGAGTAACAGGGATTTTCTTTTAAAAAAGAACTGAAATTCTGATAAGAAATTAGTTAGAAATAATTTGAATTCCATTTTTTTAAAGTTTTGTGTCAAGGAGCTATTTTCAGATTTTCCAGCTTGAGTTATTATGGGAAGACAGGACTTTTTTCAGGTTGGAGATTTATATTCATAGTTACAGTGTTGCCACAAGGCATATTTGGGTAGGGCTTTTTTTTTTCTTTAAGAGAAAAATTATTTCAATTTATAATTCTGTTTTCTTCAATTACTTCTTTTTTGCAAATTGTCACTATTTCTAAAAGAAGTGGTAAAATAAAACAATACCAAATAGGAATTCAAAGCTGCTAACCATGAGAAAATGGAAAGATATATATTAGAAAGACCAGGCAGATGAAGGAAGATCACTAAGAATTCATAGTATGCAAGGATGATTAATAAATGGAAGGTAAATAAACGGGAGAAACTGACTTTTTCCTTAGACTTGAATTCTGAACACGTCTAAAATGTTATTAAATGATGTCAAACAGTTCCTGACCTCAAAGGAAAATAGATGTTCCTTTACTGAGACACTGTGTTAATAACAATTATAATAGGGGTGCCTGGATGGCCCAGTGGGTTAAGCCTCTGACTCGATTTTGGCTCAGGTCAGGAGCTCATGGAGCCTCACCTAAGGCTCCATGCTCAGTGGGGAGTCTGCTTGAAAATTCTCTCCTTCTGCCTCTCCCCATGTGCGTGCACATGTGTGCGCTCTTTAGAAAAAAAAGAAAATAATTATTTAACTAATGAGTAATTATGATACACTACTGTTAAGTAATTATATAATTAGGAAAGCCATCCCTTTCTCTACGTGTGAATCATTACGCATAGAAGTTTAGTAAGAAAGGTTTATTTCTTCTAGTGTTTCTTTTTTGTGGCATTTTTGTATAATTCTGTCATCTGTTAAGCTATGGCTCAGGAATAGAGGACTTGTAAAAATGAGGAATAAAAACACATTAACCATTGGTGGGGTCTTGATGGCTTGTAGTAAAAAATAAACCCTCTCCACAGTATTGAAGTTGGTATTGTGTGGCATTCTGATTCCCTTTTCCTACTGTCTGGGCTCTGGACAAAAATATGTTACTATTTCTCAAAACACTTAGACAAGTTTTACAAGCAAATTATTTTTTTTTTAAAGTGGAAGTAGAAAAAGTGTCTGGCTGTATTTGTATTATGAAAACCTTAGGATTATTTGCTTTTTCCTATTCCAAATATAACATTATATTATGACAATGTATTTGTAAATTACAGGGCCGTCATCTACCCTCAAGTTGAGAATCCTTGGTTTAAAAGATTAACATTTCAAAAAAACAAAAAAAGATTGAAATTCCATTCTATTCTCCCAGACTGGGTTGATGAACAATCTATATTTTTGTTAGGCAAAAGAAGAAATTATAAAAATGTTTTTATAAATAATCCACATATCACTGAAAAGGCCCTAAAAGTAGATGGCTTTACTAAAGAAAATTTTTCTAGTTAATTTAAAAAGATGGAATCTATATGGTGATTTTTAGTCCAGGAATAGCTGATGTTTGATGGTATATGATTAGCTACCTTTCTTAATCAAAATTGAAAGTCACCTTTTAACTCTTAATCATAGGAAACAAACTGAGGGTTGCTGGAGGGGTGCTGGTGGGTGGGGGGATGGGGTAATAGGGTGATGGGCATTAAGGAGGGCATATGATGTAATGAGCACTGAGTGTTACATAAGACTGATGAATCTCTGACCTCTACCTCTGAAACTAATAATACATTATATGTTAATTTAATTTAAATTTTTAAAAATTACCTTTTATTTCCATAATCCCATCATTGTAGGCCAGAGGCATTGAGAATTTAGTGTTTTAACTAGAAAGATGCTTTGGGTCTTGAGGAGATACATGTTTATTTCCATTTGTCTGATCCAGTTCATACCACTTGAACTCAGACGCTGTTGACTTCAGACCTCTAAGCTGCTATTTTGGCAAAGATAGCTGTGTTGCCACTTTCCTAACACATTTCATTGTTTCTTCTTTGACAGGGGCTAATGCAAGAGATCAATGATTTGAGGTTAAGAGTCAGTGAAATGGACAATGAAAGACTTCAGTATGAAAAAAAGCTGAAATCAACCAAAGTAAGTTTTCTCGAAGGCAAAAATTTGTAAACACCTGACTCACTTATCTACGATCAATAATACAAGTTTTCAACTCAGTAGATGATAAAGAAGGTATTTTACAAGTGAATGAAATTTTCCCCCAAGCTGGAGACCTTCTTGAATTTGAACACCATTATTCTGAATAACAATCGGGGCTTTAACTAATCTAGTAAAATATAACCTGTTATTTCTCTTAGTTAACCTAACCTCCTTTATAAACCGATACTATTTTCTTGGATATTTAGGCTTGTCTTTTTCTATCTGTGGTTTCTTTCACACCTCTGTCTCTCTACCAGTCTTTAATGGCCAAACTTTCTAGCATGAAAATCAAGGTGGGTCAGATGCAGTATGAAAAGCAGCGGATGGAGCAAAAATGGGAGTCACTGAAGGTGTAGTAGACTTTGGGTACTGGGGTCCTGGGCCTGTTTGCTTTCTGGCTTGTGCTGTTTTGCCGTGATAGTGTTTTTAGTAGCATGTGCATTCATCGTGTGTGTGTCATCTATTTTTTTAAAAATACATTTAAAGCTGATGAAAGGGACAGTGAGATCCCTAATGTTGTTTTCAGAAACATATGAAATAATTAATGAAAAATAATAAAAGTATTCATTAATAAATTAGATCTCACCCTCTTAGAGTATCCGAGACCCAAGCATATGGTAAAATAGTTGCAAAAATGCCACCTGTGGGGGGAAAAAATCTGTCTTGCATCAGTAGCAAAGACTGCTTCTTCCTTTGGGACTTTCTTAAAGTTTAACTATATCATGGCAGTGAGCTGAAATTACTGCTTAAAAGAAGCTTCTTGCCAGTGCTACTGAAAGAAAATTCCTTGTACTTGGGATCCACATCTATCATAAGTAAAAAGTATAGGGGCAGCTTTCTTGTTTCACTGGAGATCTTCTCATAGTACTAACCATAATACGCACATTTAGAGACTGAAAATAAAATGTTTATCAAATATAAAAGTACGTTTATTAGCACTGCGTAGCTTTATTTCTGTGTAAATACAGCCAGCAAAATTTCAGTGCTAGAGCTAATTCTTCACCAAAATTAAACTGAAAATTAAAACATTAGTAAATAGAACATTGGACTTGGGATCTTTAATAGCTATGTAGTAAAAAAGAAGGGGGGGTTTCAAATCTGTTTGTTAAATCTTTTTTTCCATTCTTGTAGGAGACTCTGTTCTTTTATTTTGGTGATAAGGATGAATTACTTAGTCCCATGATTTGCCTAACATTGTTCATCACCTGCTACCTTACCCAATAATTAAGCCCTGCCTTGTCCAGGGAACATGAGTGCCATCTCAAAATACTAAATAAATCTCAGTCAAGTCTTAATATATGTTTTCCAATTTGCGTTTTACTTTGCTTTTATGACACTAAGTGTCTAATTTGATTATCATCCTTGATTAACTTGGGGAGATTTTTTTTTTATTTATTTAACATAAGATTTAAACCTTAGGGCTACCCTGGTCCGAATTATACTTGAAAAGATTTTGTTTTAATTCGGTCACAAAGAAACTTGAAACACTATGCCAGAATTATTGTACATTGACCTTCATTAATTGTCTTGCTTCCTGCTTCCCATTGCCACTGTCTGGTTTCTGAAGTCTGCATTTAGATTCCTGTCGTTTTTTGTTTCATTCCCAAAAACTAATTATTGATTTAAGAGTTAACATGCTCCCTGAATAGCCTCTTTTAGTCATAATCTGCTGTTTTGAAATGAATTTATCATTTGTAGGATGAACTGGCATCTTTAAAAGAAAAACTGGAGGAGAAGGAATCTGAAGTAAAAAGGCTACAAGAAAAATTGGTGTGCAAGATGAAAGGAGAGGGGGTGGAAATTCTTGATCGAGGTGGGTACATACATTTGACATTTGTTCTCTTACTTTGTTAGAATCCTCCCTATGCAACCCTCTCTCCCTTACTCCTTTACATCTTTTACATCTGCAAGAGAACCCAGTGTTAGTGAGATGTCATTTCAGAGAAGGAGGAAGGCTAGCGGACACCAGCTAAGCCCAAGACAGCAGGGACTCCTCGGAGACTCTTTCCTGTGCCTGGGGATCTATTAGCTTCCTCTTCAGCAGCTGGAGAAGGGCAACTCTGTACTTGATCGGGTGTTTATGTTAGATTACTAAGTTGTAAATTCTCCCAAGAGAGTTCTTGTTCAGATTGTGGTACAAGGGAGTGACAGAGAGCATTAAAAGGAACCATTATTATGTCCCAGGATTATTTCCCTCTGAACTGAACTTGAAACAGCACGAAGAGATTTAGAAACCTTTCCTGCCCTTTTGAGAGAAGAGAGGAAAAGACTTTGCATCTTTGGAAAATCAATGAAAATTTCTTATAATGGATTGAGCCCTGGACCTGATAGAAAGCAAAAATAGGCTAATTCTGTTTTTTTGAAAACATGTGTGGATTTATCAAAAGTTTTTCTCGTAATTGAGGTTTGTTTTGAATATTGTATGGAATGTAATTTTTAATGTACGTTATACTTGATAGAAAATAACTTGAATGTGTTTTTTATGTTATATTTGGAAATATAAATGCACATAACACCTAACAACACTAGGTTCGGTTTAACCTTTCGTTTAACCTTTCCTTGCTATTATAAATCACTGTGGCATGCAAGCTACCAAAGCAGCTTCTGACTCTTTTGAAACAAAAAATTCCATTTAGTGTAGCTTTAGTACATTTTTATATATCATATGAACATTGGTAACCTCACGGTGTGAACAATGAAGGGGTTGAATTAGGTTACCTGTGATGTCTTTCTTGGCTCTAGAAAACCCTGGCTTTATATCCCTGTAATTGCAATTCCCTATGGATCAGAAAGCTCAACTCATCAACCCTTGAAGGAAATGGATTTTTTTTCCTTTGTATATTTTGGTATATATAGAATTGTTGTTGTGTGTTTTTTTGTTTTTTAAGTAAGCTCTACACTCAACGTGGGGCTTGAACTCACCACCCCGAGATCAAAAATCACATACTACACCAACTGAGTCAGCCAGGCACCCTTAGAAGTGGGTGTTTTTAAAGGACATTCACAGTTAGGTCATGTTTTGGGGTTTTAAGAATAAGATGGAATCATCGGACTTGTGGGCTAGAGGATGTGTTAGATTAGTGGTGCCCAAAGATGGACACTGGTCTGTGAACTGCTTGTCACCAGCGCACAGCCAGATAAATACAAGGGTCGAGAGCAATGTTTAGAAAGTTCATGGCAATCTGATGTTGGCAAAACATCTAACTGTGTGATCAGTGGACTCATCTCATTGAACCGGGGGATAGACTGTGTCAGTGTCGTTGAATTTGAGTGGTGAGTTTAATGTGTCATAAGCAGTGTGCTGGGCACATTCAGGAGGGCCATGTGTTGACCTGTAACAGAAATGTAACAACAACCAAAGCATCACTAATGATATTTTCACCACGTGGAGCATAAGGAGTGTTTGTACTCCATAGACCTAATTTTAATATAGAAGAAAATCAAGGTTCACAAAGATGAAGTGACAGAGGTAGGAACTCAAATTTAGGTCTTTGGATGAATGATATTCTCTTTCTACCCTTACACAGAGCATTATGTATTATAGTACTATTCCTAAAGTCACAAAGTAGTGTTTAATATTCAGTTTTTATAGGGTTAGAGTTTCCTTATTTTAGGTTAAAGACTGAATAATATTGCTTTTAAAATATTTATTGTTGTAAGTATATACTAACTTCCAATTCGATGGGTTTTCCTGCACAGATGAAAATTTTAAAAAGAAGCTCAAAGACAAAAGTAAGGTTTTTGGTGTATTTCCATCAGCCTTTACATTCACCAAAAGTACTACTTGGACTGTTCTTTGCATGTGTTTTAAAACATTTCTCTCACCAAAGATGTGAAGTTGCTTCATCGATAAGCTCTCCATTTCTTCAGAGTGCACAAAATAGAGGGTTAATAAACAATAAAAACAAAGAGTAAAAGGTCCTTTTGCTAATTTTCTTTTTCTGATTCAGCCCTTTTGCTCCACAGGATACAACAGAGCACTCAGAGTAGTGGAAGTGAGGAAGCATTTTCTTTGTAGTTCAGGAGACAGAGGGTCAGAAGAGAAAGTTACTTTTCAATGTCTTGTAGCCACTTTTTCACTGAGATCTACATTAGGAATTAGACACACCCTCTCAGTGTTAGAAAAGAGATTGTACCCAGGCTGATTAACAGAACCCAGATTATATAATATCATAAAGATAAATCCTTAATTAATAGGCTCTTTCCTCCAGATTTGAATTCTTAAGAGAATTTGGCATCAGAAAAAAAAAAAAAAAGGCAGTTTCTATAGAATATACCTTAATTGAAAATGTTATATCAGCGGTGGACCAATGCACCACTATTTTAAAAATTATCTTAAGTAGTAGTTTTGTTTTTTTTTTTTCCCCCTCAGAAGCAGGTAACCTTAGCTTGTTTGCGTTTTTTAAATTTGTGATTTCATTTTAGGTTGGATGTTTCATCTTAAAATATTGGTTCTTTTATTATTAAAGTAATGTGCTTTTGTATTTGACTGTCAAATTTTAAGCAAAAATCACATTTTACCTTACTTTGGCTTTTACATTTTAAAATAGTGTTGGAAATGATGTTTATAGATGAAGCAAAGTACTTATTATCCTTCTGTATGGAACCTACAACCAGCTTCTTAGCATGACTGCTCCTGTAAATGCCACATTCCATCAGGCTCTTGCCATTCATGTCTCCATCTTGGTTAAAACTGAGTATCATTTTCTCTGCTTATGTCATCATGTACACTGTTCGTCGCTTTCCCCCACTGCTTTCTAGGTTTTTTTTTCTTTTTCTTTTTCTTTTTTTTGGAAAGTCCGTGTTTTCGTGGTTATAGCACTGAAATTTCACCTTCAGTGTTCTCATGAAGATTTTGCTGTTGCTTCAAGAGAGGGTAGTTAGCTCTCTCCCTTACTGTTTACTTTCTGGAGTGATGACCATTCAGGTGACATGGAAAGTGTTCATTTTTCAGATTTTCCCCAAAAGAGGATATGGATGGTAAACGTTTCCTTAAAACATTTCAATCTGAAGACTCAGCCTCTTGTTATTGTCACTCATGTTCACGAAACTGACCTTCTGATGTGATGTTGTGGTATTTTCAGATATTGAAGTGCAAAGAATGAAAAAGGCTGTGGAGTCTTTGATGGCAGCAAATGAAGAAAAGGTATCTAGATGAAATTAAAGTATTTACGTGGATGTGTACCACCATTCTGATCATTCCCTGCGTTTCCTGGAGATAGGTCAGTTTGGAAGAACACACCCTACACCCTGCGGACGTGGGGGACAAGCATTCTCCCCTTCCGCCCTCGTGTGCCCGCTCTCGGTGGTGGCAGTTGTCACTGCGACTGTGTCTAGAATGGGGACCCGCAGCAGTGGCTCCACTGGGAACTGCCTCCCCCTCCTTCCCGTGAATCTGGAAAAATGTACAAGCCCTCCGATCATTTCTTTATATTCAGGTGGGAAATGAGAGAAAGGATACCGCCCATAGGGCATCCTTTCTGGGCCAACATGAGCTCTGAAAGGGGTGGCCCTTGACGACTTCAGCTTCATGATGGGGTTGATGTTAATCCTATTATTTCCTTCACAATCCTGGATTCTTTCACATCAGGCATTGTCTTTGTTCTCCTGAGAGGTGAGCTAGGAGAACAGAGGCACGGGCACTGGGAAATCACATAGGGCCCTAAGCTCTGTTTTAGCTACATTGGCCAAATGCCAAGGTCTCCAGGTTCTTCACTCCCGTTGCTTCATTCTGCTTAGAGCAGGGAAACAATGACCTTTAAAGCAAGGTGTTTCTTCACGGCCTACCTGATCAGCCGTATATCCAGCTGGCATCAACAGTCGGGTTCAGCGCCTGTCATCAGAACTACTGCTACTTCATGTTACTTAATGAATAGAACAAGAAGGCATTTTCCCAAGAAAAGAGTCATTTCAAGGAAGTAAAAAACAAAAAACAAGCAAATGCCAAAGAACTTTGTCGTGATCTTTTTCTCTCATCCCGTTTCTTTCTCTAATTCTTGTCTTCTCTGTTGTACTTGTCTATATATTTTTGCCTTTCATTCTCTTTATTTGCTCTTTATTAGGAAATAAACTCATTGTCCTATCCACCTACCCATATATAGGTTTCTTTTTGCTAGTCTTTCCCACTGTGGAATAAAAAAAGGAAAGTTATTAATTAGCAAGGGGCCCACGTAGCTTTTACTTTTTTTTTTTAAGATCTTATTTATTTATTTATTTATTTATTTGAGAGAGAGACCGAGAGTAGGGAGCCTGATGCAGGGCTTGATCCCAGGACTCTGGGATCATGACCTGAGCCGAAGGCAGACGCGTAACTGACCCCCCTAGGTGCCCCCATAGCTTTTACTTTTTAAAAATAATCACTGAAACTCATTTAGTTTTAGTTTCTCTCTCTCAAAAAGCATCAATAACAAACAAATCTCCCAATGTTGACCAAGGGCTTACTAGACGTTCAAACGGCTTTAGGAGCACCAAGGGTGACATAAGTTTTTAGTAGTTCCAGAAGGCTTCGAAGAGGCCATATTTGAGCAAAATCTGAGGAAAAGCAAGAGTTGTTCATCAGGAAAATGAAAGTGTCTAAGGAAAATGTCTGCGAGCCAAAACATGTCTCAAAAACCCAGGCTCGGAACAGCCCAGTGCATGCTGGGAAAGCTCAGAATGAGATAAGGTGGAGGGGTATATGAAGCTAATATTTACAGAGGTTGACAAGATTTTTTAAAAAAATTTTGGATTTGAGGGCTCCTGGGTGGCTCAGATGGTTAAGCATCTGCCTTCGGCTCAGGTCATGATCCCGGGGTCCTGGGATCGAGCCCCACATCAGACTCTCTGCTCAGCGGGGAGCCTGCTTCTCCGTCTCCCTCTCCCTCTGCCCCTTTCCCCTGCTCATTCTCTCTCACTCTCTCTCTGTCACAAATAAATAAGTAAAATCTTTAAAAAAAAAATTTTTTTTGGATTTGAGGATAAGTTTCTAGTTTGAGTAACGAGGTGAATGATAGTGCCCTCAAAGAGTTAAGGGAATCTAAGCAGAGGTTCAAGCAACAGGGGCAAATAATGAGCTTAATTTTAGAGACATTCACTTCGATGTGCTCATGGGACATTTAAAAGGAGATTTCTCATAGAAAGTTGGAAAGTGAATCTAAATTTTGGGATTAATGTATAATTATAGATTGGGTAGGGAATGAACCCCATCAATTTTAGGAGAAATACAGAATGGTAGATTTTTGGGGACTAAACTGTAGTTGATATATACATTAGCTTTTGCTCCATGACAAATCACATTTATTATTTCTCATACTTCTGATGGTTGGCTAGGTGGTTGTTCTGGTCTGGGCTGGCTTTGCTGATCTCTACAGTTAGCTAGCTGGTGGGTGGGATGGAGCTGGATGGTCTAGGATGGTGTGACTCACATGTCTAGTGATTAACAGACTTGCGTAGGTTGGTCCCATCTGGGGTGTCTCTTCTCCAAATGATCTCTCATCTTCTAGTAGACTTCTAGTAGTCTGTGCTTCTTCACATAGTGCTCACAAGGTTTCCTAGAGCAGAGACAAAGAACAAGCCCTAATGTGCAAAGACCTTTCAAGCCTTTACTTGTACGACATTTGTTGATATCTCTTTGGCTGAAGCAAGTCACATGTCCATGCCCAAAACCAGTGAGGGGAGAGCTAGGGAACCCATTTTTAGAATCCACCAGAGTGAGGGTAAAGGACAAAAATCTTAAAGCACTAACATTTTATAGTCTGGGCCGGGTAGATAGTGGGGATAGTGGAAGTAGACTATGGTCAAGGAATTAAGATATCAAAACAGAGGAAAACAAAGAGTGGAAAGAAAAATGAAAAGAAGGAAAGAGTGGGGCAATCAAGTACCAGAGGTCAAATTAGAAAAAGGATGAAAAGTTATCTTTATTTTTAATAAATAGAAAGTCTGTGGTGACTAATTGACGAAGCTTTAGCTGAGTGTTTCGGGGAGAGAAAAACCAGATTGTGATTGATGACAGCTGATAAAGACAATAGGTGTAAATCTTTCTTTCAAGACCTGACCCATAAGTTGGAGAGGAGAATAATTAAAGTTGATTTTTTTCTTGGTTTTTTTGTTTTGTTTTGTATCTTATTACCTTGTTTTGTTTTTGTTTTTTAAAGATGGCAGCTGAAGGATAGGATCTCTAAATTTAGAGGTACTTTTTCTCTATCTCTGATGTACGTAGGAAAACTATTCTAGATATTACCAGTTCTACTAAAGTTTAGAAGTATTCCTTGAATAATGTAAATAATTCATGTCTCCCTATTCTTTGTGTTGCAGTTACTTTTACTGTTTAAAGTCATAATTTAAAGATAACAATTTATTTTATTAATAGGATCGAAAAATAGAAGATCTTCGACAGTGCCTGAATAGGTACAAGAAAATGCAAGATACGGTGGTACTGACCCAAGGTAAAAAAGGTAGTGTAGCTCTATAGGTTTTTCTACTTTATTTGATTTGAAGTGGCTGTGAACTTTAACATTTGGTTTCATTTTCCTGGAATATCCATTATTCCAAATTAGACAGTTCATTTGTTCATTCATTCAACAGTATCATTAGGCATCTGGTCTCTACACACTTTCTTGGTGTGTAGGCCAATGAGAATACTGTAGATTGGTTGGTCAGGGAGGATCTCTGTGTGGAGTTCATGAGATAGCCTTCCAGACAGAAAGAACAGTGTGTTCAAGAGACTATGGGGAGGGGCGCCTGGGTGGCTCAGTTGTTTAAGCTTCTGCCTTTAGCTTAGGTCATGATCCCAGGTTCCCGCATCGGGCTCCCTGACCAGCAGAGCGTCTGCTTCTCCTTCTACCCTTCCCTTCTGCTCATGCTTTCTCTCTCTCTCTCAAAAATAAATAAATAAAACCTTTAAAAAAAAAAAGAGCATATGGGGGAAAAGGGCTTGGTGTATTTAAGAAGTAAAAAGACCATTGTGACTGACCGGAAGGTGGTGAGCAGGGAGAGAATGAGATGAGATGAGCAGAGCTGTTAGAAGTTAGTGTTGGCCAGGTCAGGCAATGTGAGGCATTCAGCTCTGTCAGCCCAGAGGGATCCACTGAAGGGTTTTCACAAGTCCACGGCATCTTCATAACAAATGGACCATAATGGGAGAAGGGGGCAGTACTGGAAGGAAGAGAAGCCAATCAAGAGACTCTCGCAGGATTCCAAGTGGAATGATATGATGGTTCTGATTGGAAATATATTTTGGTGTTCGAATTAACACAGTGCTGTGATGAATTAGATGAGAGTGAAGAAGAGGAATGAATCAAGAAAGACTGACATTTTTGACTAAAGCAAACCAGGTGGATGATGATTCCATTTACCAAGATAGAGAAGCCTAGTGAGGGAGCATTGAAATGTTTAAGGGGGGATTGTGTTCAGCTTGGAATGTGTTAAGTTAAAAAAAAAAAGGCAACACCATAAGACATCTAAGTAAAAATAATCACACTCTGATGGGGATTGAGGAGTGCAGTTGTTGGGATGAGCACAGGGTGATGTTTGGAAGTGTTGAATTACTCTAGTGTACGCCTGAAACTAATATTACACTGTATTTTAATTAGAATTAAAAACTTAAAAATAGTCATGCCTTTTGATGTATTATTATTTTATCTATGCATGGTCCAGTTGGCCATCCTCAAATGTGGAAAATCTCTGGGGGTCATTTAAAACAAAAGTGTTAAGAATTTTGAAAGTCGTCTTGTTCATTAGCAGTGCATAGGTGGGGTTATTTGCTCTAAAAGTAAGCACTGGTAATAAATCTTTTCAAAGGTACTTATGAAATACTCAGATTTTGGAATTTCAATTTTGATGAGTTCAAAAAGAAAGAAAAGCCTATTTTGGATGAGGATTTCTGAGGGGAAAAAAATGGATCTTCACCTTACTGTCCTCCATCTTACTTACCTCCTACTGGTATTTTGTAAATACCCAAATGAGCAAGCAAATGAACCTCTACCAGTGTTCTTACAGCAATTCCCATCACTTAACATTTTCTATGCCTTCAAGAGAGTGTCTCTTTTTAGACAATATTGTAAATTCACAAGTAATTAATTTTTACATAGTCATAGCATTTAGAATAGTGTTTGATTTTATAGAATCTCAACATTGTAATTCTTATATTTAAAAATCAAGGGAAAACGTTAATTTCTGTAATTATAAAACATGTAGAAAGTAGAGAAAAGGGGTAAGTATTGTTCATAAGTGCATTGGCATGATCACTTTTGTCAGTTTCATGGGGGGTTTTTGTTTATTCTGTTTTTGTTTTAAAGTAGACTCCATGCCCAGTGTGGAGCCCAACATGGGGCTTGAACTCACGACCCTGAGATCAAGACCTGAGCTGAGATCAAGAGTTGGACACTTGGGGCACCTGGGTGGCTCAGTTGGTTAAGCATCTGACTCTTGGTTTTGAGCTCAGGTCATGATCCTTTTTTTTTTTTTTAAGATTTTATTTATTTATTTGACAGAGAGATAGAGAGCACAGATAGGCAGAGCGGCAGGCAGAGGGAGAGGGAGAAGCAGGCTCTCCACTGAGCAGGGAGCCCGATGTGTGGCTCGATCCCAGGACCCTGGGATCATGACCTGAGCCGAAGGCAGCCACTTAACTGACTGAACCACCCAGGTACCCCTCAGGTCACGGCCTTATGGGTCGTGAGATCAAGCCTTGCCTTGGCTCCGCACTCAGCTGGGAGTCTACTTGAAGATTCTCTCCCTCTGCCCCTGGCCTGTGCACGCATGCACGCGCTCTCTCTCTCTCTCAAATAAATAAATAAATAAAACTTTAAAAAAAAAAAAAAAGAGTAAAAAGAATCAGACACTTAACCAACTGAGATACCCAGGCACCCCTCATGTATTTTTTTATCTTTTTTAATGCATATAAAATGTGTAGCAAAAAGAGGTAGTTTTTACCCACCATTGAAAATTATGTCCTGTTCTAATGAAGAGTTTAACAGTGATTTCTCACTAGGATTTATATTTACTTAGTCCTTAGAGAATGCTAATAATACCTACGTTTTAATGAAATTAGAATAAATAATAAAATCTAAATTAAGAAGCTAAGTCTAGTTAATAGCTTTAAATGAGTATATGATTTGCCATTTTGTATTATTCAGAGAATAGTGTTTTAAGCATCATTTTTTGGTTTTAAAAAAGAATATCTGGCACAGTTTGTTCAGCACCTAATCCTTTTCATTGCTGGAGATGTAAAAGAAATTCTCAAAGTTGGCTGCTTTGCTGGATATGTGGTTACATTTGTCCATAAGGCTATTCTTTCTGCTTTAAAATAAATGGCACAGAAGGATCATCTTAAGGAATCAAAAGATTGCCTTTTTTTTTCTTTTCCTCTTTTCTTTGGTTTTTTTTTTTTTTTTTTTTTTTTTTTTTTAAGAACACAGTAGTGGTGAATATTGAGTTGTTTCATGGTGACTGTGTTGCTGTTCAGAATTAGTTTATTGTACCACTGGTATTCTCCAGCTTGGTTATTTCTGAACTGAAATTTGTAAAGCCCCAAATTCTGAAACAAAATTAGGGAGGGTTGTTGGACCAAATTAACTTCTAATTTCAATGCTGTGAGTCTGTGACGGGTATCTATTAATACCACCCCTGAGCCTCAGGTGCTCATAATTTAACATGTTGTTTCCTAGGGGCCCTGTTGTTATTTTTCTAAGGATTTCAGGAGAAGCTGACTCTATGATTTTTAAGGATGAGAAAAATTTTTATATTCAGTTGGTATTCTTCCTCCAAAAGTGAAATGTAAATGAAAAGCAGCCGTTGTCCTCCTTTTGCTTTGCCTTTACCCAGGCCAAGATGGCGACTTTGAAGATCTGCTCACTTCTGGTTCCATCTCCACTTTGCTGGATGCGCAGGGTTTTAGTGACCTGGAGAAAAGTCTATCCCCTACACCAGTCATGGGATCTCCCAGTCGTGACCCATTTAACACAAGTGTTCCGGAAGAGGTATTTACAGACTCTCAACATTATCTTCATAGTGAAGAGACTGTGTCATTGAAGGTTAAAATGCTGTTGACAGCATGAAAGACACGGGATCTTTTCTCAGTGCGACTACTGACTGAGTCTTGGCAATTTTTGTGTCAAGACTCAGTGTCTCATAGGACTTTATGTGAAAGGTGTGGTTTTTTTTTACCCTCTCTTTAATAAATAAATACCTTGGGCAATGTCAAAATTGTTTAAATTATTCAGGAAAAACATGGGAAAAAGATGTCATCCTAAATAGATTACAATCTCCATAATAATAATCTTTATTATTAAAGGATAAATAGAGAATAAAAGAAGGGAGATAAAGTGAGATTATATAAAGAGGTTGGTTTTAGTCACTTCTGATAGTGCCTCTGAAAAATGCTGGAGTAAAATTTCCCTGACTTCTTTAGACATGGGAAAAAAAGCAACTGGACAGGAATATTTAGTCTTCAACTCCTCTACTTTTCTTTCACATCATACTGGTGCCAAAATCTGTTTCCATTATCTATTGACAACCACCCCAAAAATTTGTGGCTTGAATGACAACATTTATTTTGCTAACAAATCTGTGATTTGGGCAAGGCTCAGCAGGAACATTTCTTCTTCTCTCCACTGGGCATCAGTCGGGATGGCATGACGGCTGGGGGCTTGAGTCACTTGAAGGCTACCCATTTGTATATCACATGGTTGGGGCTACTGTTGGCCAGGACCTCAGCTGGGGCCCTGACTGGAAATACACATGACTGCTTGGCTTTCTCCTAGCATAGTGTTTAGATCCTAAGGATGAACATCCCAAGAAGAGGACTGGGCAAATTTATATCACCTTTTTGATACGGCTCGGAAGTCATGTAGCATCTCTTCTCCTGTAGTCACAGATCCACACACATTCACAGAGAGGAAACATAGACCCTACCTCTTGATGACAAGTAACAATATCACATTTAAGAAGAACACGTGGGATGGCATATACCCGTGCAACCATATTCCAATAGTACAATCTGCCCCTCCACTCTGTGGCTACAATCATATACATCCCTCTCCCATGCAAAATATATTCATCCCCTCTTCAAAGTCTCATTCCAGTTAGGCATCAGCATCCCAGGACCTTGTCATCCAGACCAGGTCAAGATGTAGGTGCAGCTCCTCGGGCACGACTTCTTGAGTAGCACTCAATTCCTTTTAAAGAACCAGGACATGTTTGTCCCCTATACACCTGACATACAGTGGTGGGATAGGCATAATAACTGCTAGGCATTCCCATTAAAAAAAAAAAGAGGGAAAATGGAAGACACACAGGTGTCATCGGTCCATAGCAGTTCCAAATCCAACCAGGCCCATGTGGCCAGCTCCTTGACAGGGCCCAGTCCTTTGGGGTCTCGGTTCTTCCTTGTGAGTCATCTTTTCATTTCCAGGAGAAGGAACCTGTAATTGCAGATGAGTTGTTTTCTATAAAAAGTGTCTGTACAGGTCAAGGGTCTTCTACCTCCTACTGTCTCTGTCCCTGTTGGTCTAATATGGTGTAATATCTTATTCATTTGGAATTTCTCATGAATCAATTTATAATCCACTCCATCAGGTAAAGCATACCCGTAGATATCTTCACAATAAGCCTTTCTCTATCTTAAGTCTCTGTAAGGCTGCCGTGGGATATCCCTCTACTTTTAGAGTTGTTGATCTTTTTGAAGGTTTCAATGAGACAGCACTACCTTAAGTCTTCCTGAGGTCTTAACCAAGGCACACCTCCCTCTTTGCCCTAAAACCGTTTCTTAATTTTAGTGCAGTGTGCTGTCTAGAGAAACGAGGAATGGGAAAGGTTGTTTTTGTATTTTAACTAAACAATCTCGGCTCCCTTATGTTTTCCATTTCCTCTTTTGTTCAGCTTTTCTTTAACATTTTACTGTACGTGGTGAGAGGAAACCAAGTGGCATCTTTCCTTTTTGTATCTGTTCCTGCTAATTACCTAATGAGAAAAATGAAAGTTGAATTGAATGAAAATGAATTCAAGGAGGAAATGAGTAACATTCCTCTCTTCAATGTAGGAGGGAGAGGGCTACAAGATGTCATTCATAAGGAATCAGTGGGTAGGGGAAATTGGAGGGAGGTGGTGAAAAGGCACAGACTTCCAGTTATTAGACCAACGAGTGCCGGGGGTGTAAGGTACAACATGATGACTGTAGTTAACGCTGCTGTCTGGTATGTCGGAAAGTTGCTAAGAGAGTAGATCCAAAAAGTTCTCATCGCAAGGAAAAAAAAAAAATGTGTTCTTTTTTTTTTAATTTATACAGTACTGCATGTCAGTGATATCTCAATAAAATTGGAAGAAAGAGGCAAGGGATTAGTTAAGGAATAAGAAATATTTTAGAAGGGGAAAAAAAATATCCCCTGATTGTTTTATTTATACTGAAGGGAAAAATAACATCTGACAGCCAATGCGTGTGCTTGCTGCCTGTTTACAGAACAGCAGCTGTCACATGTAAGATATGCCCAGATAGTCTCATAGCCTTAAAAAAAAGTCTTTGCTATGTGAGTTGGAGTTAAAGCCCTAAAGTTCAAAATGAAATCAAGAAAACGCGTGAGTTTGTTAGTGGAGCCATTTCCTCCCCCACGATTAGGAACCCAGGGAGCTACTGTGAACTTGAAAACACAGGGATGATGGCTCAGGAAGTTGCCCAGACCTAATCATAAAGATTCACATTAAAAAAAAAAAAAAAGATAGTGAAGTAATCTCCTATTTTATAATAATAGGACTTGTTGTTAACAAAATTCAACAGAGTAAATTTGAAACATCTTATTGGCTTTATTCAGCAGTTTATGAATCAGGCAAATGAAAGGCTTTTTTTAGGCAGAAGGAGGCAGGAGCAGGGGCTCATGCTATAGGCATTAATGGTTGGTTAAAGTTGGGTTACTTTCTTTATGTGCAGCAAAGGGAAGTCTTGGAGGGGGGTCAGGTAACTTGCGCAGAGCAGGCAAGTGCTGACTGGTTGACCGAGGCCTGCCTTTTCTGGGAGCGCTGAGCACAGAAACTTAGCCAAGTTTGGGTTTGCTGACATGGAGCTTGATGCGAGCTACTCCATCTTGGGCCCAGTCAGATTATTTTAATAGACTTCACATGTTATAACCTCTTAGTGTCAAGGGATGAGACCACCACTCAATAACTGGAACAAAAAATCACAAAGCTAAATGTATTGCTTATTTAGTGAGCTAGGTGAACTTTGTTGGTCAAGGACAGTCTCTTTGATCAAATGTAGGGAGTGGGGGATGCTTGGAGCTCAGGGATTGATGGACTCTCAGAGGCTGGAGTGAGTTGACATCAGCTGTGGATGTGTGGTTACAAAGGCGAGACTGTCGTTGATTGATTGGCGTCTAGAAATGTGTTCACGGGTGTGAGTCCCTCCCTTCCTGTCTGACTTCAGAAGGGAGGCGCCGTCACCAGTTGGTTGACTGGCAAAGTGAATTCACTGAGGTAAATTTTGTTTATTTTTTTATCGCAATATTTTTTAAGTGTTTCACTTACTAGTTTATGATGGGCTCTCACACTGTTCTGCTCTGCGGTTGTCGGAAATTACTCAACACCAGAGTATAAAATTTCTTTCATAGATTCCATCCTTAGGATACACAAAGCATTTGTTTGGGAAGATGTATTAGGCATTATTGTTGTTGTTGCTGTAATATTGTTATTAAGCAAAGTGTCTTAAGTGGTATCCACAAAGAACTGGTTTGAACAACATTCTATGTTAGACTAGTGGTAGAAAACAAAGTGAAAACAGAGGTGTGTTTACAAAGCACTTTACCCAAATCTCATCTCAAATCATGACAACCCTGCAAGGTAGGCATTGCCATTCTCAGTTTACAGAGGAGAAAACTGGTGCCCAGTTAAGTGGCTTACCTAAGGTTAGAACCAAGATTTTAACTAGGGCTTAAAGTTGTCAAGGATCAGCTATTGACTTACTTGATGGTATTTATTATGTTTTATTCAGAACCAAGTTCAAAAATGACCTTCCTCCGGAATGTTTTCTCTGATGAACACTTGTTTATATCCTGAGACCATTTTATAAATATAAGAGTAGTGTTCTAAACACAGGTGTATGAAATTTTATTGATAGACCATGTCATTGTCTCACCAGTTTTTTTTCCTCTGTGACTTATGTCTTGTTTGATGGATTTTTGACTTTCTATAATTACATTGCAGTTCCACACCAGCATCTTGCAAGTTTCAATCCCTTTATCATTGCCAGCATCTAAGGGCTTGGAAGCTTCTGAAAAAGCAAAATTGCCTCCTCAACCAGAGACTTCATTTGAAGAAAGGTATGTCATTTATGACCCAACATTGCAATATAAATGTTCAACAGAGTAGATCAAGCAAACACCAGGGTGTATTGCATTTATTTGCAGACATAGGTTTTACCCCGAGGCAAGAAACAGTAAGGCATGTGCCAAGGGACCAGTGTGAATCAATAACTGCAGTCAGTTCTGTATTATTGAAATAAAGGGTGTGAAGCAAGAAGTCATAGGAGGTGAGGCTGGGGAGGTGTGATGGTCAGGTTAGAGAGGGATTTTAGAGCACTTGGGTTTTATGTCCTAAGTCACGGGGCGGGGATGGGGGCCGTCAATGGGGCTCAAGCCCCATAGCAACAATCTTGTGCCTGAGGCTGTTTGGAAGAAGGATTCAGGTCAGCGATACAATAGTTTCTCCACTGACAAGTAGAATTTTGAGGGAACACATTCTTAATTACTTAATCTTACAATTAGATCAAATAAAAGGAAATATAATAGAATATTTTAAAAGAGGGGGGCACCTGCAAGGCTCAGTAGGTTTAGCAGCTGACTCTTGACCTTAGCTCAGGTCTTGATCTCAGGGTTGTGGTTCCAAGCCCCAGGCTGGGCATGGAGCCTACTTAAAAAAAAGAGAGAGAGAGAGAGAATTTTTTAAAAGAGAAATAGCTCCCTAGCACGATTTTTTGTTTTTGACAGTTCTGTTTACTTAGAATATATAAGGTCTTTTATATGGTCTTTTACTCGTGAAGCACACACATTCCTTTTTTTTTTTTTTTTCCTTTTAGCGATGGAAAAATAATCCTTGGTGCTGCTGTTGAAACCGAGCCTTGTGATAGTCTTTCGTAAGTTATGTTACTGAATGTGAAAAATGTCATTGATACCTACCTGGGAGAGAGGAAGCTTCTGTTACACTAACAATAACCACTATGAGAAGTGCATGACTGAGGCCTGAATACATTAATGCAGGTGTAATGGCTGGATGTGGAGGGAGGTGGGGGGGTTGTGAGTCCACAAAGAAATACTTGCTTATCGACTGTTGTCCATTATCTCGTGCCAAGTGTGGCACGTCTTTAGCCTTCCTTCATCAGTTTTCATGTGAAGTGCAATGCTTTGAATTTCAGGTTTGCACTGGCTTGCATTTTGACTCTAGCAGAAAAGAGTCACAGAGAATGATGTGATGGCTAGGGAGGCTGCAATGGTTTTTTGCACTCTCTGTGTAGTAAACCGGCCCAATATCTATGTTTACTCAAGTTCAAGTCTGTATTAAGTTAGGAAAATCTATTTTCAGAGCAGTAGTCAAAGATGGGATCTTTTCTTTTCTCGCCTTATCTTTTTATTTGGTATTGGACATGTCTAGCAAGTATGTACATATAAGTACGCGAGAATTGCCTTTTAAAGGTTTGTCTGTATGTGTATGTTATTCTACTTCTTAGAGCAGAGATATTACTTTTTTCTCTCTCTTTCTAAACTGGTCACCTATTTCTGCCTTCAAACTCTGAGACGACCAGCCCTATATACTTGAATCTCTGGAAGTTTACGGTGTCACTTTGCCTTTACAAAGATAGCAAATGAATTATTATGGGCAGCAATAGGGATTTTTCTTGTATGCCTTGATCAAAACTATAAAATGAAGTACTTGGCCAGATTCAGAAAATGGATTCCTTTGTGAATTGAAAAATAACACTTTCACCCTTTATTTTAATTACAAGGATTATATGGAAATAGTATGTGAGTATTTTAGAAGTTCCCTGGCATATTAACTAAAATTTAAGTAAAAATTAAAAATTAAAATAAAAAAAAAAGTTCCTGGTCTAAATGTATACATGAAGGGATGCACCACTAGTCCATGGAAAAACGCTGGTTTATTTTCAAATATTGACATCACAAGGGGAGTCCTAAGTGTTTTTCCAGCTATTCTAACATGTGCGAGACATTCAGAGTTATTGGCAGGACAGTTAACCACCTCTGCTTTTAAAAGAACTCAACGTTATAATTTAGTTAAGCACATAAGTGAGTGCCTGAATCCAGATTTTCTTTTATGACCAGGATTCAACCCACACACAGTTTTAGTTTCTTTCCAAGATATTCTCCTAAGAAACAGCAGCACCAGAGCCACTTATCATTAATCCTAATTACTATTATTGTTATTTTTAGAACTTCAAGTCTGCACAAGTCCAGCAGCCTGGGCAATCTGAAGAAAGAGTCATCAGACGGGGTTGGTCCTGTGTTTTTTTCTGTCCGTTTCCCTGAGACGAAAATATTTAGGGACCTTCACATTTTCCCATCTTAAAAATAAAACTCTTCAGAAGAGCTTGTGGTTTCTATAATGCAAATTTATTAGATACCATGGTTAATGGTAAATATTAAGTATGAATATGAAGGGTTGAAAGTAGTGTATACAATCAAGACTGAAGGCTTCAACCATTATTGGAAATAAATGGAACTGAGATTGTGTAGTTTAGAAGTAGATGTAAGTTTATTTTAATTTCTGGAATTGTATGTGACAGAGTGTGAATATATAAAGCCATTCCTGTAACAATCTGAAATATTGTTGTTTTGAACAGGAAAAGGAGTCTGTTCAGAAGCCTTCAGAGGTAATTTTTATGTCCAGATTACAATGTAAAAATGTTTGAGACATCTGATACATGTGATTGCTTAAATGTGTCCAAAAAACCCAAACTCAGAACCTCCAAAACATGTTACATGAAAGAAGCCAGACACAAAAGATCAGATAGTACATGATTCCATTTATGTGAAATATGCAGAGTAGATAAATCCGTAGAGACAGAACACAGCTTGGTGGTTGCCAGAGACAGAGAGGGAGGAATGGAGAGAAACTGCTTCCTGGGTAAGGGGTTTTATTTAGAACGATGGAAACATTTTGGAACTAGGTGGAGGTGGCACATGCACACCACTGTGAATGTACTAAATGTCCCTGAATTGTTCAATTTAGAATAGTTACTTTTTATGTTTCACCTCAATAAACTGTTGGGGGAAAAAAAAAGCCCAACTCTCAATCAGTCTACTGATGTTCTTAGTGATCATATTTGGGCTTCCTAAGACCTCACGAAAAGTCCTTAGATCACCCATCTGAAAACAGTTATTTATTTAATATAACCACTGTCTGTATACAGCAAACATTTTGGTGTTTTGTTTTTTTTAAGACCTCATCAAGAAGGGCTCTTGTTCTTCTTTCCTCTAATTTTCAACCATTACCTTTGTAAAGGCTACGTTCTGGTAGACAGGCCACTTCCAGATGCACTCCCTCGACTGTCGGCTCTGAATGCTTTGAGTCATAATGTAGGTATCCCTGATGAGGCACAGACCGTACACGCAGCTCTAGTTCCAGGCGTCCTCTGTCCTTTTTGGTCTTGCCAGTTCAATAAATGATTAAATGATTTTGACATCTGGATTGAGATGTAGGTAACAGTAGCACTAAACTGTGGCATCTATAAACTTGTAGTTAACGATGAGTAATAAATAGGTAGGATAAAATAACCACCTTAAAAGCCCGTGCCCCCTCTCCCCTTTGTCCACCTCTGCAAAAAAAGAAACAGAGGGTAGGAGATGTTAGAGGAAAGAGAGCATGCAAGCAAAAGCATCTTTGGATCATACTAAACCAGTATAATAGATCAGGTTACTGTAACTGCAAACTCCAATAACGAGAAAGCCAAAAAGTAAACAGTTTAGTACTTAGAGAACTGTAACTTACTTACAGTTAAGGTTCTCAATAAAGACCTTGAAATATTATAGACAGCCGAAGTGTCTTCTGAATCAACGAAGAAAAATTTAATTATAGCAAGTTTAGTTTTGATGGTAAGTGTATCTGAATGTATCACATATCACGGTCTTTGAAAATTGGTGATCCTTGTTGGGTAACTTGCAGGCAAGATAATGAATATATCTCAGAACACCCTTTCAAAAAAAAAAAAATGTTTAACAGTCACTGGTTGTGTCCTCATTTGACTATTAATTCCTTGAGAAGAATATTTAAAATAACTGGAGTAGAATCTCTTTCTGCTGTTGGTGTAGAAGCTTGGGGCTAATGCCTGCTTTGCAGAGTGATTATATTATGTTGGGCTTCTACTGATGCAGTTACAGTACAAAGACTGCAAACTGTATTATAGCCCAATCTGTGTCATAATTGTTAGAAAAATAAGTCTGCTGGTATTCTGGTTATGTAATAGCTTATTTCCATGTCTTTGGGGGAATGAGGCAAATAAAATTCAAATAAAGCTTGAGAATTTTTTTTTTTAAGATTTTATTTATTTGACAGAGAGAGACACAGCGAGAGAGGGAACACAAGTAGGGGGAGTGGGAGAGGGAGAGGGAGAAGCAGGCTTCCTGCTGAGCAGGGAGCCCAGTGGGGGGCTCGATCCCGGGACCCTGGGATCACGACCTAAGCCAGAGGCAGACGCTTAATGACTGAGCCACCCAGGTGCCCCAAGCTTGAGAATTTCTATATCCTAAATACTTCACGTCCTAAGCACGCGTGCAGGTTATAGATCAGTGAAGAGCATGTTTTTGTTGCTGCTGCTGCCATTGCTTCTTAACTAGCTTTCAGAATTGACTTTCTAAACTTCTAATATGGCGCCAGATGTTCATAATCAACTTGTTAGTTCCATGATTCTTTTAAATGAAATCATATGTGTAACAGCAGGTGTTGCGCCCAGCGCGTACTCATAATCATGCACAGCAGTGCCGTGTTCCATTTATTATTACTTCTCTCTCAGGATAAAGCTCCAGTAGAAAGCAGCCTGTTTGGGAGCCTCCCTCCGAAATCTCCAGGACATGATGCCTCCGTGGACGACAACCCTTTTGGCACTCGGAAAGCTAGATCTTCCTTTGGGCGTGGCTTTTTTAAAATAAAAAATAACAAGAGGACTGCGAGTGCACCAAACTTGGGTACGTATGGCCAACGTGCCTTCACCTTAATTCGCTCAGAGTGAGGACAAGGTTGATCTCTTCCCTTCCCTTGTTCTTCGGCCTGTGCGTTTCTCTTTCTCAGTAACGGAGGTGAATGAGCTGGGGGGAAAGTTCGCAAGAAACCGCCCCCGTGGGTTTAATTCAGTGGTCAAGGTAGCTCTGTGTAGGCTGTCACCCTGCCCTCCGTGTTGGAGCAGGAATGTAGGGGAAAGACCAAAAGCCGTGACCCTCTCTGACTTCACTGTAAACAGCTTCTCACCTGTTTTGAAAGTGGGCAGATGGGCCCCATATTGACCCTGCTAATGGGAGTCTGCGATGTTGGAAGCACAGCGCGGTGCTTGCCTGTCCTCCCACTGTGTGTATTTTGTGAGTAGGAGTTTGATCTGTGTTTCATTTTGTCATTCTCCTGTGTTCTCTCCATTGGGCTGCGTGTGATTGTGTGCGTTGTTGGGATCTCGGAAGATCGTAAACGAAGTGCCAGTGCACCCACCTTAGGTATCGTACCCCTGCATGCCAGCCCTCGCCAGTGCTGTCCTCCAGACTGAGCTAATCCTTGCTCTTGGCATCCATGATCTCTAGAAAGCGGGCTGGCAGCGATCAGAAGATGTTGTCTTCTACTCCAGAGAGTTCCTTCCATCTGCTGCTAAAATGGACTCTCTGGGGAGCCTTTGCTTCCCAGCCTAAATGCTGTTTTAACCCCTGCTAATGACACCTCGAGAGGAGCTCTGGGAGGCCCCAGAAGTGCACAGCACCCTTGGAGTCCAGGGCAGGACTCTCCGGCCTCGTTTGTGCACCCCAGCTTTCTCACCCTTCCAGTCCATCCCGTCTCACGCTAACTCCCAGGTCCTGGCGGTTCCTTCTCCATGTCTCTGTTATCCCCAGAGAGAAATGTTTTCAGCCAAATAGGGAAGTCTGTAGAAGACATTGCAAATGAGTGTTTTAGACTGACTTTTCTTTTTCTTTTTTTTTTTTTTTCTTTTATTTATTTCTTTGACAGAGAGAGATAGCGAGAGCAGGAACACAAGCAGGGGGGGAGTGGGAGAGGGAGAAGCAGGCTTCCCGCGGAGCAGGGAGCCCGATGCGGGGCTCGATCCCAGGACGCTGGGATCATGACCTGAGCCGAAGGTAGACACTTAACGACTGAGCCACCCAGGCGCCCCTAGACTGACTTTTCTTAAGGGAACATTCTTCTGACATTTATTGCTTTGAGGATGGAGGTGACATTTAGTGACACCAGAGGAAGCTCTCTGCGATATCCAAGGAGTCGCCCCCAGAGTGATTTTAGGAGAGGGGAAGCTCAGTTTTCTTTTTTAAAAGTGTGGGGCACAGGAGGGAAGTAACATCCTCAAAACAAAAAATGAAAATAGGATGCTTTTAAAATGAAGGTGAGTTAGACAACATTTTCTGGTACACCCGTACCCATGATGGCTTTAGGGTTTGGATGGAAAGGTTCCCTTGGATTTTCCCTGTGGATTTTATTATCTTATGTAGATACCCTATACCTATTCATGTGGGTCAGCACAGGTGACTTGTCTCCCTTTGTGGACACATGGGATAAATAAAATCCAGACAACTATTTTCAAATGTTTTTGCATCTTTCTTAGAAGAAATACATTGTTAATGCTAAGAGCCGAGTGCTGCTTATTATAACCTATAATCACAGCTGTGCTTTGTAGAAAAGTCAACATTTTATATCTTGCTGAAACACCATTTCTGTGATTTTTGTACAACTCTTACTTTCCCTAAAAAGTGTAGTCTCACATTGAAGAAACAGTACCCTTTGTTGTGTTCGTTAGCGTGGGATCATGCATTAAGGGACAGATAAAAGAATTAAGACAGTTAATGCTGGGAGATCTGGGCTTAGCAAATTTGGATGTTACTCTTCCAAGGCAGAATCAACAGGCACTGGTTTTATATCAAAAGAAAAATTTATGCAGATCCAGTTCATTTTTTTCTCAGTAGGACATAGCAAGTTATAAATAGGAATAACTCTCTTGAAAAAAGAATTGGCAGCACTTGGTAACTGGGGTTTGATGTAAATGCCAAAGGAGAGGAGGGAGTGAAAAGAAAATGACAAAGCGTATGAACTGGAGTAACAGGAAGAATATTAGTTAGTATTGAGGGAATATTAAATAAAATTTAAGAGAAGCCTCTGGAAAATTGGATGGATTTGTTGAGTCCAAGATGTTCCTGGCACACCAAATTGTGAATATCCATAGACATTCAGATCCTGAGTCTGGGGAGAGAGATTAGGTCCAGAGATTGTGCTACCAGCTGCTTATGTATGAGGGAAGCCGTCATTTAGTGTCGGGCGTGGAGTGGGTGAGCTTGTCCAGAGATCCTATGGGGGGAACCTAGTACAGAATCTCAGAGTGGAAGAGGAAGAGGAAACAGGTCCTATAGCAGAGAAGAAACTATCAGCTGACAGATCTAGGAGAGTGTCATAACAAGCAGACGAAGGAGATGATGATTTTGAAGAATGTGGGAGGGAGTCAGCAGCACCAAGTGCTACAGGAAGATCGAGAATAATTTCATTATGTATTCAAATCACTCAAGGAAAGAATGTGGCAATCCTATCCCACCTTTGAATCTCAAAGAGGTGGTAATTTGTGAGTTAATGAATTTAGGCACAGTATCCTACAGGATATTCTACACAATGTTAATTGATACACAACAGGCTGTAAAGCAGAACATATATTTGTGTTCCATTTTTAATATCTGTAGGGTGCTGTTTGTAAATTACTGCTTTACAAACCAACAGAAGAAGAATTTGTTAACCATTGCTAAAACCCAGGAGGTTAGCATCTAGTCATGTTCATTCCATATTTAAAACTCACCAAGTACGTATTCTGTTCTTGGAATAGCTGAAACAGAGAAGGAGACAGCTGAGCACCTAGATCTGGCTGGTGTATCTTCCCGGCCAAAAGATTCACAGGGAAGCAGTCCCTTCCAGATATCTCCACCATCGCCGGATTCCAAAAAGAAATCCAGAGGTATCATGAAACTCTTTGGAAAGTAAGTAACAGAGGAGACAAATGGAGTGAGCTTTGTATTGTATGTTGCTCAAGTGTAGAAATAAATGGAAGGTTGGCTGGAAACGAGTATGAAATTGTAAGACTTTGGTGTTCCTTTTATGGAAGGAAGATTGTGATCTGGGATTCACTGACTCATTGGGTCTCAGCTAATGTGTAAATCCAGATGTCTATTCTGACCATACATAAGCAGTGTTCTGATTAACTTTAAAGTCTAAGGCCTCCTCAGGTCTCATACAAGGCAATGTGGTATTGTGTCTTCTGTTCAGGCTTAGGAGAAGTCAGTCAACTACATTCAACCCAGATGACATGTCTGAGCCCGAATTCAAAAGAGGAGGGACAAGGGCAACTGCAGGACCGCGACTGGGTTGGTCTCGAGATTTGGGACAGTCTAACAGGTGAGAACAACCGAACGAATGGACTTTTACATCTCTACCCAAGTGTCAAGGCCGTGAGCACCTGCAATGTTAGTATTGTCCCTGGGCTAAACCGCAGACTCCATTGCTTACTGCTGTGCCGGGCGGAAGGGTCCGTCATCTTATTAGAGCAGTGCATGTTGGCAGTGGTTGGTGAAAATCATGCAGAAGATGAAGGCTATGTGAGCCCGGGGAGCAGCCAGAGCTAAAATGTCAGCAACATCTGTGCTAGGATGATTCTTGGACTTAAATATAACCAAGAAAATCATTAAGTACTCTAAAGCATAGCTCTAGAGAGATGGGGGAGAACATAGTGGTTAAGAGTAAGTTCCAGAGACAGACTGCTTGGATCTGACTCCTGGCCTTGCCACTTCTATAACCTGGGTGACCTTTGAGCAACTACATCCATGCTCTGTGCCTCTGTTTCCCATGGTATTAATCAGCCCATTCCCCCAAAAGGTAATCATGAAGATTAAATGAGTTAATACACGTTAAGTATCTGGTAAATAGTAACTGTTCAATGAAGGTTAATGATCGGTGGATTCTGTGAAAGTACCTACAGACATAAATTCTATCAGAATTCCTAAATTTATCAGGACTTTGTAATGTCTTATCTGTTAAGACTCTTAGGAACTTTTCCTACACCCTTACCACAATTTAGGACTGGTTTGAAATTGCTATACTGACCTACTAAGCATGAAAAGGGTAGGGTTGGCAAACATCTAGCAGAAATCATTCACACTAAATCTCTGGAACATGGTCCCCTCCCACCCTCGCAGAAGACTGGGCATAGGTTTCATCGAGGAGGAAACCGGCTTTCTCCAAACACATGAAGAGTCTCATTTGCCATATATTCTCTTTGTACACAGAAGAGGAGCTCCTTGTGCTGCTTAAGAAGAAAAAAAAAAAATAGTCTTGTTTATCTACACATTTTTTTTTCCCCAAAGAGGAACACAATTTACATGTCAAAGTAAAAAACCAGAAATTTGCTATGATTACATTTTCCTATACTCAATGATGGCATGTTGCTCTCTTCTCATTGATACCCATTTGGAGAGAAACCATAATTCTGCTACAGTTAATTCAAGTTAGGCTTGATTTCTTTCCATCTAACCTAGTGTTTTCTGTTTGGGAATTCAGTCTTCAAACCACATTGATTGAAACTAGCACAGTGACTTGACTTGTTGTTTCAATTTGCTTTTCATCCATACGACATGTTTCTTGCTCAGTCACATCGCATCTTTTGTGGTTTCATTTGAAATGAAAGCCGTGGTCCTCTGAGGTAACTTCCAACACCAAGGACCACCTCCTCCTCCTCCAAATATGTACTGAAAAGTAAGTTTTTCACGGTCAAATGGGCGTTACCATGGGATTCCCGTATCCATTCAGTATACAGTTGGTCAACCTCGATAAGCCACAGGGTTGGCTGTGAGTTGTTTTTCATGCAGTTATTCGTTTTCTTATAGTGACTTGGATATGCCATTTGCCAAATGGACCAAGGAGCAGGTTTGCAATTGGCTTGTGGAACAAGGCTTGGGGTCCTACCTGAATTCTGGCAAGCACTGGATTGCATCTGGCCAAACCCTTCTGCAGGCTTCTCAACAAGATCTGGAGAAGGTGACTGCTTCTCTATTTTGTTTAGACAATGGATACTGGGAAAGAGAATATGAATGTAGGATTGTTTTATACTCTGGAAAGGGGAGTGGGTGGAGCCAGTAAGTACTCTTGAAAAACTGTGTGTTTTCTGTTTCACGCTTTTTTTCTTTTTCTTTTTTTTTAAATCTCATGGACTTAACAAGAAGGACCGGGTCTTAGTGATTCCTTATGAAGCATGTAAGCCACTGGTCATTGTAGTGAGAAATAATTGTATAGGCATAATAACAAACCTTAAACTCGTATTTCTCAAAATCATTGTGTGGCTTTCATTGGCCCAACTTCTCAGTGTTAATGTATGCAACTCAAGTTTACTTTGCAAAGAGGAAAAGGAAAGAGCCCTCTATCTTATGTCTAATTATTTACAGTTTTCCTAATTATTTAACATTTTGTACAAAAAGAGTAGCATTCCAGTCTTACCAAGGAAGGAGCCTGCTAGGGAAGAGAGCACACCACTAAACTAGTTGCAGTGGTCTTGGCTTGCTAGGGGCTTTTTGTGCAGCAGCATTTTACCAGCCTGAGTCGGTATGCTGATTTAAGGTGATTGTCGGGTCTTTAACACCAGCCTCATTTGGGGGGAATTGGCATCTTTTGCCAGTGGCATCCAGCCCATATGGACAGAATGGTAAAGCCAGCATTTCTGCTTACTATTTCAGGAACTTGGAATTAAGCATTCACTTCATCGAAAGAAACTCCAGCTGGCACTGCAAGCCCTGGGGTCCGAAGAAGAAACCAACCATGGAAAGCTGGATTTCAACTGGGTCACTAGTAAGAGGTTTTAAATTCACTCATTCATTCATGAATGAATGAATAAATCTGCTTTTTCTTTTTAACCACAAGTACAACACCGATTTCTCTCCTGTAGGATGGTTGGATGATATTGGTCTCCCCCAGTACAAGACCCAGTTTGACGAAGGACGGGTAGATGGTCGAATGCTCCATTACATGACCGTTGTAAGTGGTTTACTCCTGGGAATTGGGGGGAGGAGGGGTGTCAAATTGTTTTTCTCTGAAAAACACAGAAATAGTGAGCAAAATACATTGTTTTCACAATGATTCTAGCAGAGTTTCAGTGTGTTGCCTTAACTTGAGAAGAACAGGAATATTTTCTGTTAAGTTGAAGTCAGAGGATTTGATGATTGCAATACTGTGGGAAATTGAAAACACTGATTTAAGCTGTGTGAAACCTAATCTAAACTCAGCTGTCCAGGAAGATGGTTTCATATATATTCAACAATGTAGACACTGAAATGCACATTTTGGGTAAATTTTCTAGTATGTGAATTGTATCTCCTAAAGATGTTTATTTTATTTTAGGCTTTATTCATTTATTAGTGAGCACGAGCAGGGGGAGGGTCAGAGAGAGAAGCAGACTCCCACTGAGCAGGGAGCCTGATGCGGGGCTCGATCCTGGGACCCTGGGATCATGACCTGAGCAGAAGGCAGATGCTTAACCGACTGAGCCACCCAGGCGCCCCCTCTCCTAAAGATGTTTAAAAAATAGAATGTAGAGTTCTGAAGCCCTGGCAGTTTTTTGAGTTACACATTCCTATATGCGGTGACTGCTCAGAAGAGACCATCCTTTTGATCTGACTTCTAGAGACTTGTCTCCTCTCCTCCTTTCCACTTTTGAGAATGTTACCTGAAACCTGCTTCCTTTCTCTCTTCAGCCCCATTCCGCTAGGGCAAGAGTCACAGAGCTGAAGAAGTAGGGCGAGGTAGACTCTGATTGCTTCATTATTGTTCCATATTTTTATCCTTCCATCCAAGAGGTAGAAGGACTTTACAACAGTGGGGAGAGATGGTTTGTTTCCAGGAGAACTTGTTCTAGATTCCACAGTCCTGTTAGTGTACTTCTCATTAGATGTCTTTATTTAAACAGCCTTTTGTGGGCTAGGCTCTGGAACCAACTACCATAAGTATCTTCTTTAAATAAGTTGAAAATTTCAAACAGCTAATTTTCCAATGTCAAAGAAATGTGGGGTTCCTCTCATGGGATTTGTTTTCTTCTCTGTTATTGAACCAAAGTCCGTACCTTGGTGGGCACGTAGCGTAAACCTGCTTATAATAACACCAATGTGTGGCACATTGCACATTTACTCTGTGCCAGACGCTCTTTCAAGCTCCGTACTCCTATTAATACTCAAGTCTCGGGGCGCCTGGGTGGCTCAGATGGTTAAGCCTCTGCCTTCGGCTCAGGTCATGATCCCAGGGTCCTGGGATCGAGTCCCGCATCGGGCTCCCTGCTCGGCGGGGAGCCTGCTTCTCCCTCTGCTTCTCTCTCTCTCTCTCTCTCTCTCTGTCTCTCATGAATAAATAAATAAAATCTTTAAAAAAAAAAAATACTCAAGTCTTAGCAAGCCTTGAGGTAGCATTCCTGTTATCAACCCAGTATTTAGATGAGGGAATGAAAAAATTGAGAAACTGGGTAACTTGACCAAGTTTCCACAGCTAGAAAGTAGTCAAAAGTCACAGGGTGTTTGAACCTAGGATGTTTCCAGATTCCTGCTCTTACTAGCTCAGCCTGGAACAAATTCAGTAAATACTAGCCCACCTGTCTAGGTATAGGTTTGCTCCTGCAGGAACATGAGAAGATTCAGGCTTAAAAAAAAAAAAAAATGCGTATAACTTTTGTGGCTATAAAAGAATAAATCATCTTAGGAAGTTTGACCCTAGAAGTTCTATGTCACAAAAAACCTGTTTGAACGTGGTATCCTGGGCTGGATCCTGGAACAGAGAAAGGACCTAGGGGAAAACTTCATAAAATTTGAGTAAAGTCTGTAGCTTAGCTATCATTTTTTTGTTGTCTATGTTAATTCCTTAGTTTTGATGACTATATCATTGTTACAGAAGCTGTTAACATTAGGGGAAACTGAGTAAAGGGTACATGGGACTATCTTCTATCTTTGGCGGCTCTTTGGTAAATCTAAAATTACTTAAAAGATTTTTTAAAGCTAAAAAAACCTGTTTTGATTTAAAAGAAAACAGTCCCTACTTTTAAAATCTCTTAAGCTAAAATAATTTGCATTGCGTTTACATTGCAATCATTATGTATTTAGATTTTTTTAATCTGATAGACTTTAGTTGAAAATAGCCCACATGGAAATGTTCTGAATGGGTGTCTCAATCTTAGATGAAAATATGTTAAATGCCTTCTAAATTATCATAGGGCACTGCCTTTAAGAAATTGATCCAGAAAAAAATTCAGGAAATAATTTTGCTTGGTAGCTTTAAGAATTTAAGCTGATTGTCTAATATTTTTATTTAAAAACTATTTCTGTAATAGATTACCACCCGCACCATGTTGTGTGTGTGTGTGTGTGTCCCCCCCCCCCCCCAGCCAAGAAATGTGTTATCAGTAAGGTGTGTCTAAAATGGATGTTTTTCTTGTTTTATTTTCTGGGTGTGTTTGGAAATAGACTGGTGCTTATCTTGACACCGCCCTCCAAATCACCTTCTGAAATAATTTGTTTTGGTGTGTTCGGTATGTTTGAAATGTTCCCAATAACCACAGACTGGTGAAAGTTACACCTTGGAGGAATTGATGGTGATACATGTTGCTACTTATAAGTTCTTCATTTCTCCTTTCTCTTTAACTCTCTCACCAATCAGTTTGCATTGATCGACACAATTTTCCCAAATTTGTTCTCAGTGTCTGCTAGATAAAGCATAATAATCCAGGACTAGAGATTTCTTGAGACTTGGGGAATAGTATAACAGAGATACTGTTCTGGTTTTCCCCCAAATGGTGATGTGCCTTAGCTCAGAAAACCCAGCTCTGCTCGTCACTGAACATCACGTGCTCTTAGCTCTGCTTTGTCACATCAAATCAAAGGGGATCGCTTTTTGCAGTGACCCAGCAGGTGCCTTTCAAACTGTGTTCTACAGAGCTGTGGGGTCCCGTGATCCTATTGCAAAATGTCTGGAAGAGAGAGAAACAGGTGAAACTTGGCTTCTGTTGGCACAACATTAAT